CCTTTCATGGTAGGCAAACATCCCATCCCATGAAGCCCAGCCTATATTTGTTTTCATCTGCAAGATGCATGTGATCTTCCAGAACACACCACGCCCTACTTTCTCAGTAAAATAATTCACCAATCCTGCCACCATCCATGACACTCTCTAACCTTACCCATAGTAGACACACACATCTGATGACCGTTTCTCCTCCTCCTCTTCATCGTTTTTACCAGCACCTCTGCTCCCCAAGTCCTCATCGACAAAATGTCCAGGCTGACTAGGGAGTTCTAAAACATGGCAACATACCAAGGGTTTCTTTTGGTTACCAAAGCATCTTGAAGTCCTGTGACCTGCTGGGGGGTGACCATTAGGATACAAAAGAAAAGATTTATTCAAAGCCAAAGTGCAGTCACGAGACATCACTGGTGCTTTCCCCAAATCCCTCCAACCAAAGGCAATTGTTATGTCCACATTGGGAGAGCCATTAGCAAAAGAGTCTCCACCATAATATTTGGAAGAACTTTGTGACTAATTTAGCAGATGGAATTTTTTAAAATGACAATGAAAAAATGCACGATAAGATGAAAATCCTAAAGAAAGTCAGTTGCTAAAAGCAGATGCCGGTAAGTTATAGACCAGAATTTTCTTATTCCTAAACAACCCAATACTGACAAAATTTAAATCACCATTAAAATTAATTTTTTGTTTGTTTGTTTTTTGAGATGGAGTCTCACTTTGTCACCCAGGCGGAGTGCAGTGGTGTGATCTCAGCTCACTGCAACCTCCGCCTCCCGGGTTCAAACAATTCTCCTGCCTCAGCCTCCCAAGTAGCTGGGATTACTGGTGCCCGCCACCACACCCAGCTAATTTTTGTATTTTTGGTAGAGACAGGGTTTCATCATTTTGGCCAGGATGGTCTCAGCCTCCTGACCTCCTGATCCGCCTGCCTCGGCCTCCCAAAGTGCTGGGATTACAGGCTTGTGCCACTGCGCCCAGCCAAATTTTTTAAACCTTCAAGTTTTATATGTATCAAGATTCTGAACCTACTCTCTTTTCATGCCTCAAAATGCCACCAATGATGGTGCCAGCTTGGCGCTTTACTTTTTCTCCTGTAATGCTTTCTTTGGGCAAAGGATGGCAAAAGAAATTAGCTGAGTAAACCCAAATCCATCAAAAAGCAAAATAAATAAGACATACTGTGAAGTGGTGAGTTTTCTTATCTTGAACTATTTAATTAAGTTTTAAAACAAAAAGGCAGCAATGAGCTCTTTCCCCTTGGAAAGGGAGAAATAGCAGAAATCACTTGGGTTCATGCTGAAATAGGTCCACCGAGCATCCTCTGTAAATATTAAATCACTACCACATAATATCAAAAATGAAAACCTCTTATTATTTATTGAACTGAATTCCATGCTCACAAGAAGCCTTTTAAATGAGATTCTCAGAGAACTTCATAAATGGTCTCTCATTATCACTCACCTTCATTTGAAAAAGTATCTTCATCTCCATTTCAGCATTAGGGGTTAACAGAAAGGTTAAATGAATTATATAAAGTTATATTAAATGCTTGAGAACAAGAGACCAAGGTTTATTATCCCTTGAGAACTAAAAGTCTTTCTTTGAAAAATTAAGCAACTTATCTAATTATTTTTAGGAGGATGTTTCACAAAAATACAGGACTTTATGTCTACATCATGGTCTATAAAGAAAAGTCACAAAATAATAACCATGCTTAATGAAAAATCAGTGTGGTTTCCAGAATCCTTTCTGTTCTGTGTACCCACCCATGTGGCTAGAGATTCGAAATGCTATTTAAGTCTCATTTTCCTTCAGAAGTTAACCTCTGTGGAATAAAATGCTGTTAAGGGGGAAAAATCCTTTCTGTCATTTGACTTTAACTTATGATAAATTAGCTTCAACTAGTTTCTTAGAAAATTGCCCAAGAAATGACTACAGAAAATTAAATACCAAGACTTCAAAGAGGCAAACACACAGCCTTCAAATTCCGACCTCAGAGAATAATCCTCCCTTTCTCATGCTTTAGAGAGATGTGAGTAAAGAAATCATACTAGGGTATGGTAATGAACCATCTTTCAAATGACTTTTCTATCAATCTTCTTTTCAAAAGGTAATAAAGTGATGATTATTTCTAGGCAGTTTCTGGAAAGTTATCATCTCATTTCAATAGTCACCAGTGAAGGACCGCACTCTGGTATGCTCACCAACAGTGATAAGGGCAAGAACTGGGTGAGAATTCAATAGACAAGGTGTAGGTTGTTAAAAGCTATTTCCTAGAAAATTAAAACAGAGAAAGATCAAAAGAATTGTGTTGGGTCTTAAGGAATTGGTAATTACTTCCTTCTAGATTAAAAGTGCAAATCTGGTTTATTACCTAGTGAATGAAATCCACTATTATTTGAAGATTTTTTTCTTTCAACAAATATCGTTGAAAGCATATTATGTGCCTTCCTTTGTGCTCGATGTTGGTGACTAATTGAGAAGGACAACGAGAGACAACAAGGGAATCTGTGTCATGATTTCTAGAACCAGAGCAATAGATCTCATCTAAAACTACAGTAACAAACAACAACAACTCAAAAGAATTCTTTGAAAGCATTGACTAAATGGTTGCTGGGAATTCTTAGTCACCTGGTATTTGTTTTGCAAAACTGCAGAAAATAACAACAGGGCAAAAAACACCCAAAATTATATCTGATTCCATTCCCCAGAGCTCTAAGAAGCTTTAAGATAGCATGGGGCAGGAGTCACTCCAGGACCATATGGCCTTGTGCAAAGAAAATCCTATGCACTGGATGCCTTCAGGAGAGGTCTCTCTGGAACGTGGCTGCTTCTCTTGTTGCCAAAGTCAAATTCAGATCCCGTCTGTGATATGGCCTTTGTGCTCAGACAAGGATTATGCGGTCTGCTTTTCCTCAGTAGATCCTAAAACCAGCCCCAGCCATGGCTTCTTATTTGTCCTAATTCTCTTACCCAGTCCAAATCTACTGCCCACTGGCAGATAGGATATGAAACACATTTCTGAATTTGACATTTAGCCAGAAGTTAAATTTCTTTGCTTAGAAATCCGAACGTGGAACAAAACAAACAAACAAAAAGAAACATGAGACAAAGCTTTCTGAGGACAAAAACATGCCATGTGCACCACCACATCCTCATCACTAACACAGTACAGAGAAGGCACTTAATATCTGTTGAATAAAATTGACTGACTGAATGAACACCCCACCCTTTTGTGGTCATGGACCACTCAAAGTCAAGACTGCTGCATTGGTATTTGCATTCATGTATTCCCACAATGACTTTTGCTCAGCAATTCATCTTTTAAAAATGTTATTCTGTTGATTTTTCTTAAAACAAACAAAAGAAAAAGCACACCACAGAAATGTGAAATCCAAATGTATTTGCTTTCAAGTTCCATTCCAGGTAACAAATATTTGACCAATGAACTGATGTCTTTACTTTGGCCATTGGGCAAGCAAACTCTGCCTTTTTTCATAGTTGAGTGCAGCACTGAGGTGGGTACCAATTGTTCCTTTACTGATTTGTAGAATGAGATAAAGTTGTTAAGCCCCTAAAAAAAATTACCATTTTATCCTCATTGCCAATCAATAAATCACCCAAATTTCCCACCTTCCACCAACCAAAAACCCAAGTAAAAGGGGTATAAAGTAACCCTTGTGGAACTCAAACTTACAAGAATCAGAGGCAATCATTGGCATACTAAATTCTTGGTTTTCCACCCTCCTAGTCAACATTTCCCCTGTACACCTAAGAATGTAGGAGTATAGATTTTTAAAGCAAGCTCAGTAGCAAGTCAGCTAATGTCAGGATTAAAGATAATAAGAAGTTGGAATTTTTCAAACCCAGGAGGTTTGCTGCCAGGGGACTGGGGCACCTTATAATAAGAAAGGGGATGCAATAGGATGTGGAGAGGACTCCCAGCCCCGAATCTCTCCTTACGTGAAAAGTTGGTGCTTGTTCCAGGTAGGGCAACCAGGCCCAGCATACAAGAGGGATGACTGATCCCTCAAATACGCTACACAGTGTGGCTTCCAGGAGTCCTTCACCTTGGGCCTCATAAACCAATGACATGTTCTCAGCCGTATTTCAAAATATATATACATTCTTTACTCCAGAGGAATAGGGACTCTGCCCTGGAAGGAAGCAAACACCTGTGAAACATGTTTTCAGTCTGAAACCGTATCTTTCTTCATAGGACCTGACATAGAGTAATTTAACCTTCACTATTATATATACAACTTTGGAAAGAGGAGTGGTGTTTTACAGGCTGAGCTAGTCAACTCCTAACTAATTGTACCCCTGCGCTTAAAGGAAGGGAAACCCTTTTTTAGTAATTTCCAGTTCTTCATATTCTTGTTCTCTTGTTTAAAAAAAAAAATAGGCCAGGCGCAGTGGCTCACGCCTGTAATCCCAGCACTTTGGGAAGCCAAGGCAGGCAGATTACCTAAGGTCAGGAGTTTGAGACCAGCCTGGCCAACGTGGTGAAACCCCGTCTCTACTAGAAATACAAAATTAGCCAGGCATGGTGCACACCTGTAGTCCCAGCTACTCGGGAGGCTGAGGCACAAGAATCACTTAAGCCTGGGAGGCAGAGGTTGAAGTGAGCCGAGATCGCACCATTGCACTCTAGCCTGGGCCAAAAGAGTAAAACTCCATCTCAAAAAAAAAAAAAAAAAGAATATATATATATATAAAACGTATACCCCATGTATACTGTATATATTATATATGGAAGGGTATTTGTTTTAAATTTCCCTTTCTTTTACAGAAACCTGAAATATCCAGGCATTATATGATTCACTGACAATATCTGAAACCCATCTAGATTTCGCCAGTATACTTGGTAGTTTGTGCAGGAATGTGCTCCAATCTGTGCAAATCCACCCTCATTCCACTGTTTTTCCTATCATTGCTATTCAAAGTCCTATGCCGTGGAAAAGACAGAGGAGGAAATCACATAACTTTTTATGAACATATATATAGATATAAATACAATCTGTGGGTGAGGTGACAAACAGTAGTAGGGGGTCCGGTCTGCACACATAGTAAGAAAATAAAATAAATGTATCTCCCCCTCACCCCATCCTTTAATGTGCAGGATTCTGCTCCAAGGTTCCAAGTGACCAGCTAAAGCAATGAGGTATACAAGAACAATATTCCCAGCTGACTCATCCAAGCGTCTTCATGTGGAACTTGAGGATGGAGTTGCAAAGTGCCCTGGACAGAGGTCAGTGTCTAGGAGAACCCATTGATCATATACCAATGAGGCCTTTGGACAGAAGGAGATGTGAGGCTCAGAAGGCGTGTTCCAAGGAGATGCTGATGTAATCAATGTCACATCAATCAATCTATGCTATCACAGAGTTCCTGGAAGGCAGGGCAAGCACTGGGATCTTCTTGCTCCTCCCTTTTTATAGTTGCATATCATCTTCTGGGGAATTTCTACCCCTCTCCCTTGCTGGAGGCTCCTCAGCTGATTCTATTTTTACCTCAAGTCCAAAGGTGGAATTTATCCTTTCAGGGGAATAGTCATTTCTTTTTAAATCTGCAAGGAGGACAAGTAAAAAGGTTATAGTGGATCCCCAAGAACCTACTGCTCATGAAGAGGAATGAGACTTTAGGCTTTGCCAAGTGTTCAGAGAGATCTCCTCTTCCTCAGACCATAGATACGTGGAACTCAAACCCTTGACCATGTCTAAATTAAGCCTCCTTTCCCACCCCAAAATCCCCTCTCCCTTCCCTATGCTGTTTGGGCGCTGTTTATGGGGGCAGGGAAGAAAGACTTGCTTGCTTGCTTCAATACACAGTGCCCTATAAGGCATAATCTGGCCAGAGTTAAGTGAGACCAAATGGGAAACGGGGCATTTTACTGTTGAATGACAGGCAGAGGCAGAGAGGTCAGCCAAGAAGGCTGACTCCTCATCTCAGTGGTCAGCTTTCTGTGACAAAACCTGCACCTCAGGTTTGGTACAGCCAATAAAAGTTGCATCCAGTTATCAGATCCTATGCTTCCTAAGCCCTCCTTCCATTTGAAAAGAAAAAAGTTAAAAGAAAATATTAAGAGGCATAACCTTTGTAAGATAGGTATGGAGGAAAATGGGGTTAAAATGTTTGTGACCTTTTTGTGCTATACTGATTGTATTTGCTAGCCTAGAACATGTATTTCTTATATTATTTTTAATGCTAAATGAGGATTATGTGGACATAAAACTAATACATATTATATATTAATAATAAAACAATCAACATTTATTGAACATGTATGTTGATATGGTTTGGCTGTGTCCCCTCCCCAAATTTCGTCTTGACTTGTAACTCCCACAATTCCCACGTCATGGGGGGAATCCAGTGGGAGGTGATTGAATTATGGGGATGGATCTTTCCTGCACTCTTTTCGTGATAGTGAATGAGTCTCACAAGATCTGATAGTTTTAAAAACGAGAGGTTCCCTACACAAGCTCTCTTTGCCTGCTGCCATCCATGTGAGAAGTGACTTGTTCCTCCTTGTCTTCTGCCATGATTGTGAGGCCTCCCAGCCATGTGAAACTGTAAGCTCATTAAACCTCTTTCTCTTATAAATTGCCCAGTCTCAGGTATTTTCTTTATCAACAGCATAAAAACAGACTAATACGTATACTACATAATTCAGTCTTCATACAAACTTTATGAAACAGGTGCTATTATGCCTGTTTTACAGATGAGGAAACTGAAGCCCAAGGTCATATAGCTGGTAAAAAGCAGAACTGAAATGTGAGTTCAGCCTCTCTGGCTACAGAGCCTATGCCCTTTATACTATCCTAAACTGCCTCTCATATAAAAAAAAATATGAAGGGAAATGTAATCAAACAAAAATGAAAAATTACCTCTAATCCTATTTTCCAGACAAAACTCTTTTTTTATTTAGATTAGCAAATGTCTGAATAAACAAGGATATTTCTTATTTCCACTTAAATGTCGGTCAAAAACTAAGGTTTTGAAAGAAAAGATGAATTAGGACTAGAGATGGTGGAATTGCTGAATTACTCAAAACCTACCAGTCTACCATGCCTGTAATCCCAGCACTTTGGAAGGCCGAGGCAGGTGGATAACCTGATGTCAAGAGTTCGAGACAAGCCTGGCCAACGTGGTGAAACCCCATCTCTACTAAAAATACAAAAATTAACTGGGCGTGGCGACAGGCACCTGTAATCCCAGCTACTCGGAAGGCTGAGGCAGGAGAATCACTTGAACCCGGGAGGCGGAGGTTGCAGTGAGCCGAGATTGCCCCACTATACTCCAGCCTGGGCGACAAGAGCAAAACTCTGTTTCAAACAAACAAACAAAACACCTACCAGTGTAATGTAAAAAAATTATCTCAAGCTTAATCCTACAGGACTACTAACTGAGCTCAAGGATTGGAAGTAGTGAGTTCTGTCTCAAGTCTCCCTGTGTCCTGGCTCCTTAGATGTAGAATGCAGGCTACCCTTCCAGGGTAAGAATGAATCAGACCTGGGAAAAGGACAGTACTGGAGGATGCTGAGTGAATGAGCCGGACTCCGGCCTGCCATCAAGGAATGACTCTGATCGTTGTCAGCTCCTGCCTTCCAGAGGACCCTTACCTGGAGGTCCTGATGACTCTCAGTCCAGTCCCAGCCCCTTCCTGAGCTCCTTTTGACCAGAGAAGCCAGTGGGTAGTTTGGTTGTGCACAATCTCTTTGCCACGTCAGGTATGTGATTTGTGAGAGTGAGTCCTGGCCAGTTGTGAGAGTTATGGCCCTCCCCTCTCTGACTGCTGCATTTTGATCTCCCCATCGCTGACTGACCACTATATTCCCAGTGGAACTGGAAGCCTGCTCCAGCTCTGTCTCTCTATGCCTTCACCACAGGAGCTCCCCCTACCTCTAACTCCAACAAGATTAGAAATCACCCTTGTGGCTGGGCACAGTGGCTCATACCTGTAATCCCAGCACTTTGTGGGAGGCTGAGGTGGGCGAATCACGAGGTCAGGAGTTTGAGACCATCCTGGCCAACATGGTGAAACCCCGTCTCTACTAAAAATACAAAAAGTTAGCTGGGCGTGGTGGCGAGTGCCTGTAGTCCCAGCTACTCAGGAAGCTGAGGCAGGAGAATCGCTTGAACCCGGGAGGTGGAGGTTGCAGTGAGCCGAGACTGCGACACTGCACTCCAGCCTGGGCAACATAGTGAGACTCCGTCTCAAAAAAAAAAAAAATCACCTTTGTTTGTTGTAAATTTACACCTGTCCCATCCCAGGTTACGCTGGATGGTGCTCTTTCACTGACTTCAAATTCAGTGTATGATCATTTATTATAAGGCAAGAAGAGCTACTCGCTTAAGATATGTGAAATCCCACTGTAAGGACAAGTTTGGTGTGACCAAAAGTAGTGGGCAAGCTGAGGTACACATGATGCTTCCCTTCTGGGACAAAAGAAAGGAATGCAACAGGGCTGGCACTGCCCATTTGGAGGGCACAGACCTCCAGCTGCTTGCTTTTATAGTAGGAATTTTTAAGTATGTCATGTTATCAAATCAGATTTTTAAAAATACATGTTGCAATGTGTGTTTAAAGTAGCCGATTTTTACAGTAAAAAGCACTACTTTGATTGAGGGTGTCATTTCCCTCCACACCACACCCTCCCAAGTACCCAATGGGTCAATTAGAATAGAATAGAAATAGAAAAGCTGTGGACAACACTCTGAGGCCATCCGCAGCTGGCAGGACCCAAAGTAGGGGGTGGGGAGGGCAAAGACCTGCCTCGGTCAGATTTCATCCCATTTAAAGTCAGTGGAACTTCTCCTTTGGAGTGACTGTGACAACTCTTGGGCCCCATGTTGTTTTATCACATTTTGGCAGAACCCAAAGTAAATCCCTGTCCTTTTAATCCCTTTAGAGACTTGAAAATTTTGCAGTCAGAAAGTCAGGCCCTGCGAATGACTGTGAATGAGATAAAAATGTGATTACAATTCTCTACTTTATCCCAGGTTACAAAGGATGTTGTTCTATGAGAGATTTACTTAGAGAAAAACAGAACTGTTAGTGGCATACCCGGGAGTTTGAGCTTCCGGCAGCAGGAGTTACAATTATGTTTTGCAATGAAGTTTCTAATTGCATCTTCCCCCAAATTGGCCGGTCCAAACACCATTCCTCTTGATCTAGAGGAAATATCAGAATATCAATTAGATCACAGCTAAGAAAAAGGAGCTCAACTAGGATTCTCTGAGATACCGAACAGTATCCCATAGTAACCCAGTAAACTTGAAGGAGCCAACAAAGAACAGAGCACTTTGGGGAAACAACAATGTTAGGTTTGCAAATTTAAAATTCAAATGCACTTAAATCTTTGTTCCCAACTCCAAGACCTACTGTGAAACGCATTTCAACGCTAATCTGATAGAAGCGTGAATTTTCTATGTACCACAGTAAAACAAAATACAGTGAAATCCTTTTTAATGCACATGGGGTGAAAGAGTGGCATTCATTACCAAATGTTCTACTAGAATACCCCAAAGGTAAGATATAAAGTAAAATACATTTGCTTTTGGGACACGCCTTCTAAAACGATGCATAGACATTGCTTCCAACCCAAATACTTTTCTGAAAATAACCATCCTCAAAAACAAATACCCGACTAAACCCTAGATCCGTACTTATGGCTCTTTCAAAGCCACTTGCTCTCCGGCAAACTGCTCTAGCTGGGCTTTTTGTGGAAAGACAAGACTATGACACAATGTGTTGGTGGAAGTAAAGTACATATGCTCCATGTAGGTGACAGAGTTACAAATAGAATCAGTATATATAAGGCACCTTTTGAATACTCTATAATCATAACAAATCCCCAGCAGATTCTAAGATCAGTGTTCATCCGTTATCATATCAAAGGCGACCATCATTCTTTGGATGTTGACACAGCACACCACAGAGCAGAGCACACCAGAAACATTTCCCAAGAAACTTTATGAAAGCTAATATTTTATTTTAATGACATGCAGAGTGGAAACAGCACATTTTAAAATCTGAACTCAATTACCGCTCTTAAATACCACGTCTTAAGAAAAAAGAAAAGCAAACTATCACAAAAGGAAACAATAAACTTCGCTTCTAAGGAATGCGGTTTTTCAAAAGGGACGTGGTGTAAAAATGGACTTTTTTCCATCCAAGGATTGAAACATTTATCTCAATTTCCACTTCCTTTTGGCAGAATAACAGTAGCTGCTCTGAAGATGTGCCAAGCTCAGAATGAGGGCTGATGTCAATTTGATCTCAGATCGCCTCTTTGCTCCGAGGCGAGTAGGTGGAGGAAATCTCTCGGGAAGACCAAGTGAACAGACACCCAGGATTAACTTTCCTGGCCACTCAATCGCTCTTACAGAGCACAGCTCTGGTGGTATTTACCCGACTGCATAAGCTGCCTCTTGTTAACTATTCCTCTCTCTCTGTCCATCTGGTAAGGTACCACTTCAATAAGGTGAAACTGAAGGTGGCAAAAAAGTCAAAGCACTCAGCATTTAGACCGAGATTCTACGATGCCAATAAAGTGAAACAGTGTTATTTTAGTCGTTTACATTGAAGAATGCCTTTTCATAGTCTCTCCAACATGACCCTGTTAGAATATTTCATTCACTTGCTTTCAATACCTGCCATTTCTTTCTCCCAGTAACACACAAAAATCCCCAACTTAAGAGATACAACACTAAATCTCAGATAAAAGCTGTAAGTTACATGATTTCCCTCTATGAGCTCTGGGAAAGTTAAGACAAAAGAATCAAAATTACTACAAAATGCATATAGCAGGAGTTAGACCACTCCCAGTGCAGGGGAGTCGTAGGGAAATTCATTTGCATCTACCCGCTACAGCACGCCTAGAGCCTTGCAGTCTTAGATAACCAGGTTTTTAAAAAAATACAAGTAGCTGTTTTCCAGATTTTTCACAACATAGGAAAAGCAGGTGGTAGCTTGGTTCCACATGCGAGGAAACGCTAATTAGTGCCATCTATACATAGATTTACTAAAGAACATCTCATCATCATTTCATACTTGTCAAATGCCCAAAACTATCAAAGCAGCAAGCTAAAAAACTGTAATACCAAATGACCAATAACCAAGGCAGAAGGTTAGGGAAAGTTAAGAGACAATAAGCACTTGAAACGATATGAGAATTTCCACCACAAGAATATCTTCTCTTTTGGTAGAGGGTTGTCCTTTCATTGACCCCTTCTCCTCATAGGAAAGTTACCATCTTCACTGAGCCTAAGTTTTCTCATTTGTGAACTGGGATTGAAAATGCTTCCTTTCATTGTTGTTGCAAAAGTTAAAATAAATAACGTGTGAAAGCACTTGCTTAAATCAGTGCTTCCCAAACTTTAATTCACACCGGATCACCTGAGGATCTTGTGGTAGTTCAGATTTTGATTCAGTATGTCTGGGCAGGGTCCTGAGATACTGCATGTCTAACCCTCTTCCCGATGATGCTGACCTTGTTGGTCCATGTCCCGTGCTTCGTGTAGCAAGTGCTTCAGACACGTAAGGCATTCGAAATGTGAGCCCCATGGAACTAATCGGACATAATTCCTCATGAGCATGAGAAAATAGTAGTTCTTGTTATCTTGACCATGAAGGCCAACTGCATCCAAAATTGGGTCACCCCACAAAACCAGGCAGGCCACAACGAAGCCGTCCTATCAGTTTCCAGAGTTACTATCCTTAAGTCATAAAAAAATAAAGTTGCCAGAAGACAGAGTTTCTCAACCCTGGTTGCCCGTGGAATCACATGAGGAACTTAAAAAAAATACAGATATCAGAGCCCTATCTTCAGAGATTCTAATTTGATGCCAATCCTTGGCAATTTTTTTTAAGTTCCCCAGGTGACTTTAATAGAAATTGAGGCCCACTGGCCTATAGCATGCAATTAAATACCTACCTGTCAAGGGGGATAATATAATCTTAGAATTCTAAATGATAGAATATTCAGGTCATATTAAGTGACATATGCCAAGGTCAAAATTTAATAAATGATAGATGGGGTATACATAAACTTGGTTCATTATATATGCAAAAAATTTCCACTGCAAAATTATAAAGTACTTTTAGTATAAGATTCCTACTACTAACCCTTAGGCATACAGGGCTACTGAAGAAATAATATTCTTAGCTAAAACACTTTAGCAGAGCTTAAGTGAAAAATAATAAAGTCTTTATGTACATAAGCGTGGTAACATGGATGCCACAGTCAAATAAATATCATAGGAATTAGATGTGTATGTTCAATACGGATCACCTTTATTTTCTCTAGTTCACCTAGTCCAATTAAATATCTAATACACTTTTAGATGGGCCTCTTTGCATAGAAGCCTACATATTTAGATTAAATCACTCAGTAAAATAACAGAGCACTAAAGCAGTGAATATTTATGAGTTCTTGGGGAGGGAAAGTAAAAATTTCAGATTTTATTGATTGCCCACTTATGTAGTTATATACATATAACTACTACCCAGGGGCCAAGTGTACACAATTATGACAACTAAGAAGTAAAAATGTATGCTGGCAGTTCTCAAGAGTGGTCTCTGGACCAGCAGCATCATAATTCCCTGGGAACTTGTAAGAAATGCAGATTATTTGGCCCCACCCCAAACCTACTGAAGCAGAAACTCTGGGAGTGGGGCCCAGCAATCTGTGTTTTCACAGGCTCTCCTGGTGATTGTGATGTAAACTCTTATTTGAGAACCATTGCTGCCTGCCATATTGATCAGTGTTTAACCCTCACCATCACTTCTTTCTACCCCACCTTTAATACAAGAATACAACCTGAGATCCTTTACTGCCAAGTCTTCCCAAAAGCCTGCTTCTGGGATAAAATTCCATGGGAATTCAAGGGACAGGTTGAGTCATCTCTCTATAGAATTTAAAATTCCGATCTTAATTAAGTCAGATTACCTGATGGTTCATATTTAAACTCCATTGTTTTGTCCTCTCATAAGATTTGCTGTTACTAAATAGCACACTTTATGCCCTCAGCTTTCATTTTATAAGCATATGATGGAAGATGCTGCCCACGATAAGATGCAATGACTCCATTGTGAAGACAACAAAGGAAACTGTGCTTCGGCTATGATATTGTTCTCATATCAAACCCGCAGAAGCTAAACTTACACATTGGAAACCCAGTCAAATTTGCATTAGTCCTTATAATTTCCATTTATGTGTACAAATCTAACTGCAGATTTAATACCATTTTACATATTTCTGTATTTTCTTTTTACCCCCATTTCCTAACCTATGCTTTTTTATAATCATATTGTTTTTGGTCTATATACATAAGCTACCTAAAAACCTTTCTAGAATCTAGGCAGGGAACATATATGTTTGTAAATTATTTTTAAAACCATTTACTATGTGTTAAATGCAATTTTCTAAATGATAACACATAACTTACTGTTTGACTTCAGGTTTTATAACAGATGGATCTGTCAAATTTTCTCCAACACCTCAAAAGAAGAAACAAAATTCATTTAGCAAATGGAGATTTCATTTTCTTAGAAATTCAAGAAAATAATAATTAAATTCTAATTTCTTAATTTAAAACTCACAGTCACTCTGTAGTAAATCAAACGTCATGAGCCCATACTTCACCACTAAGCAATACTGGCATGTAAGAAATTTGGCTGGGCACGGTGGCTCACACCTGTAATCCCAGTTCTTTGGGAGGTGGAGGCAGGCAGATGACCTGAGATTAAACTTTGAGACCAGCCTGGCCGACATGGTGAAACCCCATCTCTACTAAAAGTACAAAAATTAGCCAGGTTTGGTGGCGCTTGCCTGTAATCTCAGCTACTTGGGAGGCTGAGGCAGAAGAATCATTTGAACCAGACAGGCAGAGGTTGCAGTGAGTTGAGATCACGCCACTGCACTCAAGCGTGGGCAGCAGAGCTTAACTCCACCTCAAAGGAAAAAAAAAAAAAGCATGTAAAAAAAATCTGTACTTGTACCCCCTAAACATATAAAGATATATAAAAACTAAATATAAAAAAATTAAATATTTTAATTCTCAAAAAAATCATGTAAATTAAATGCACTATAAAAATTGTTCAGAAATGTTTGAAAATTTTAGTTAATGTGCTGTTTCCCACAAACCCTCTGTTATAATAAACTTCTAGGCCGTAAATGATTGTTTTAGTGGTGTGTTCACAGTTACTGATAGTGGCATCTGTCATTCATTTACCACTTGCATATATCAGATATTCTAATTTTATTTTCTCTAATTCTCAGCAATTATAAAAGAAAAGTGTTATCCTCATAGCCTCATTTTACATTTTATGCTCATTTACATCAATGAGTACACCGATGTCCAAACCAATTATGTCATCTGTCAGAGGTTGCACAGTCCATACATGGTCATAACAGGATTAACGCTGAGCCAAAGTTTGTGTTCCTAACACTGGTCTATGGTCTCCTTGGATGGATTCCATCAGTGCTCAGCAAGGTGCATGGTGCTGCGTGGTTTTGCAGGTACAACCTCTGCTCCATCAAAGAGACACACACTTACACTTTTTTTTTTTTTTTTTTTTTTTTGAGATGGAGTTTCACTCTTGTTGCCCAGGCTGGAGTGCAGTGGCACGATCTCGGCTCACCACAACCTCCGCCTCCGGGGTTCAAGCAATTCTCCTGCCTCGGCCTCCTGAGTAGCTGGACTACAGGCATGTGCCACCATGCCCAGCTAATTTTGTACTTTTAGTAGAGACAGGGCTTCTCCATGTTGGTCAAACTGGTCTTGATCTCCCGACCTTAGATGATCTGCCCACCTTGACCTTCCAAAGTGCTGGGATTACAAGCCTGAGCCACCACGCCTGGTCACATACTTATACTTTTATTCTACTCATAAACAGTAGAATAGAAACCGCTAAATTATTGATCTCGGTGATGATTACAACTGTGTATTCAGTTGTGAAAATTCTTTGAGATGTATGCTTATGCTATGTGAATTTTCTAAATGTATATAAGTCTTCAATAAAATTTACCTTTGAAAAAAAGATGACACTAAAGCCTAAAAAGGTAACATAGGTGCAATGTAAAGTTAAAATTTATCAAAACAGGAATCAGCACCTAAAGTGAATATCTTATAAAATACTAGTGGTGAGGAGGCTGATTTCCACTGGTGGAAATGTTCCAAGCCAGCCAGTAAGATTTGGGCACAATCCAGTGATTTCTGAGATCATTCTCTAATCAGCCCTGCTTCTCTTTGCTTGAAAGCAACTAATCTTGTGGGAAGATTATTTTAACATTATATAAAATTTGTAAATTTTAGTGTATTTCTACTTGTTGAGAAAACTCATGTTTTCTAGCCAGTATGTTTTAAAAAGATTTTTGCTATTGTCTGTATGTTTTACAATACACTAAACCTTTCATAAGAAAATGTAATCCTTATAGACTTTTACCGTATGAAACTGACTTCCTTAGAAAAATAACCTAGAGCTTGAAATTGGGTGACCTGGATAGCTCCCTTAATCTCTCTGAACCTCAGTTTTGTCATCTGAAATTGTGAATAATAATTCACAATTTCCTTATCTTACAGGGTTACTGGGAGGATTAAATGAACTACTGGACACAAACTGGACACAAACTGTTTAGCAAAGTGTCTGCCCCCTAGGAAGCTGAAAAAATGTTCACTGTTACTTGTATTATTTTTCTCCTATCAAGAACTTCTTGTGAAGTGAAATTTTATTTCCTTACCACTAGTAAAATCACGTTTCTGATTGATTATCTCATTTCCCTAAAGTACTATGTTCCCAGAGGAACAGAACTCCTTATAAGAATGAGGGTAAAGAGTATCCACAAACCTTTATACCCCTAAACCCAATCTGACAGTCCAAAGATTAATATATACATAGTTTGGGGCACACAAATGGCAGAAGGACCTTTCAATGTGTGAAAATAGAGAATAGACCAATAGAGAATAGGCCAGGCATGGTGGCTCACACCTGTAATCTCAGCACTTGGGGAGGCAGAGGCAGGCAGATCTCTTGAGCCCAGGAGTTTGAGACTGGCCTGGCCAACATAGTGAAACCCCATCACTACACATACAAAAATTGGCCAGGTGTGGCAGCACACGCCTGTGGTCCCAGTTACTCGCGAAGCTGAGGTGGAGTATTGTTTGAGCCCAGGAAGGCTGAGGCTGCAGTGAGCCATGATTGTCCGACTACACTCCAGCCAGCCTTGGCTACGCAGGGAGACCTTGTCCCCCCGCAAAAAAAAAAAAAAAGAAAAGAAAAGAAAGAAAAAAGAAAAGAAAAGAAGGTAAGGGAAAAGAAGGGAAGAGAAGAGAAGAGAAGAGAAAAAAGAAAAGAGAAGGAAAAAGAAAAGAAATGAAATGAAAAGAAAAGAAAAAAGAGCAGCCCCAAATACCAATCTGACTTCAAGAGAGTAAATGCTCATGTCAGGTAATATGCGGCATGCCTTTATGAGGAACTCAGAGATTGACATTCTGATCCCAACCACCTTGGAGTACATCAATGAACTTGTACATTGGTGGAAAGCAGCTACCTTTTTTGTAGTAGCAGAATTTATGATGATGACGACGTGGATGCCAATGCTGCCATTCTGGAAACTGCTTTGTTGAATAGAAAATTAATAACTCTAAAACAATATTAATATCTCCAAATTAATGTTGAAAAATACAGTGAGCTAAAAAATGCTATAAACCACTGGAATTTGAAATATAATTGTTTTCAATTTCTGTTGCTGGGAACTAAATGTTGGATTTTAATGATGGTGATTCAGGCCCTGACATGTAGGATTTTTTAAGTGGAGAGAGACCAAAAAACTTCGGCATAATTACAAGTGATTGGAAATTGGTCAAATCTCTCCTTAGAGTACAGTTTCTGGCCTGGTGTGGCAGCTTCTGGGGTTAGTTATTGGTACTCCCTTGGAAGAAAGCGAAGAGGAGAAGAAAAGAAACTGAAAGAAAAAACTCCTCGAGTGTTTTACACTCCTTCTCTCTCTCAAAGCGGTAGGGAACCACAGCACACTGAGCAGGGCCTTCTTCTATAGAAGCAGAGGCTGCAGTCTCTCTGCAGCACCAACAGGACCACACAGCTAAGGGCAGACTGCCTGCAACTGCAGATTAACCTCCATATTAAAGAGTCACACAGAGACTAATGCTAACAGCAACAATTACTAACATTTACTGAAGGCTGTGTATCAGGAACTTGTCTCAATTCTTGCCCTTAACAACTCTATGGCTGAAGTGCCTAATATTATTTTCCCCATTTACAAATGAGGGAAGTGGGACTCAAAGTGGTGCTCCTCCGTGTTATGCAGCTAATTCACAGTGGAAGTCAGACTCTGGCATTGCAACTCCAGAGCTCCTCCTCCTAACTGCTGCTGGTGAGCCTCTGTCTCCACTTACACCACCCAGACAAGGTGCATCATCTCTCCAAAGACTAGAAATACAAATAAATTAAAGACAATATAAAACTGAACCAAAAACCATTAAGAGATTTTAAAAATTACATTCTATTTTCCCTTTTCAACCTGGTTTGGATTAAATATAATAATGCACATAAGCCTTTAGCCAAGTGCCTGGCACAAACATAGTAAATGTTAGCTAGTAGTAGTAGTGTAACTGTTCATAATTACTATTATAGGATTCACATTCTTCCATAAATCCAGGTCTAACCAATTGACCAAAACTCTCCGATAAGTATCTCAAATTTCATCACACTCATTCTATGATGTCCACTCCTCCCTTCTTTGAAGGTCAATGTTTTGACATCGTTTATTTGGAGTGGCCTATTTCTGCAATTCACATAATTGCCCAGTAAAAGAATAAAGTTAATTCTCTTTTTCCCTCAAGACTGTCAACACAGCATTTGTTCTGTTTAATGTTACTTCGGATTACTAAGAGACATAAAAATCCCCAAACATAAACATCATTAAACAAAAACCTATTCAAGTGGAATACAAAACACACTGAAGAGTCATCATTAATTCCTTAAAGTTTTTCTTTGGTTGTTTTGTTTTGTGTTTCTGTTTTTCTTTTTTAAACAACTCCACCCAAAACTCAAAGCACAGTCAAACACAGATGAAAATAATCAACCTCTCTCCAATTTGAGCTACAAAAATAGATGCCTTGGGCATCAGTGCTCTGGGTTTATATGGATCAAGTACTTGCTGGTTTAAAAGCTGAATCAACTTGGTCATTTTAACTTTGTTTATATTGCTTCCTAAAATATTGGGTTTGAATTGAATTAGAAATATAATTCAACTCTGTGAGCAGCATCAATCTGAAAGGACAGAAGCACTTATATGTCATTTAAAAAATGCACTTGTATGTAGTTTAAAAATTTGTGTCACATCCTTGAGCATGTGACACAAGTTTCAATCAAAGTGACTTTGCAGTCTTAGCAGACGTGGCTCACGATGCCCCAGGACTGTCTGCTTATCTCTACACTCTCCAACCTCCAAGAACCCAGAACCAGAGAGCTGGGAAAGTCAGACAGGACAAGAAAAAGGCCCAAGTTGTTCAAAGAAACCATAAGATGGTTATTCCCTCTACATATGAAACTCTTAAAAGAAATAAAAGAGCAGTGAAAAGAAAAGAACAGGGATGTCTTAAGAATAGCTTAAGTCTGCATCCTGGCTCCCCCTTACGTAGCTGTGCAACTCTGGCCAAGTCATTAAGGTTTCTGGGCCTAAATTCCCATAATATTTACCTCAAGGTGCTGCTTCTAGGATTAAATGAGGTAACTTCTAGGAAACTTCCTGGACTAAATCTCTTATTTAAAACCAAAGCCCCAGTCAGTGAGCCTAAGGACTAAACTTTGACCTCAATACATATTTTGTTCTGTCTCTGCTAGGAAAGCCTGCTGGAGATACTCTGTTTTGTAACGCAGGATTATAAGTCACATGTGAGGTGTTGATAGTCGGGAGATGTGCTGATCAAAGGCTTCCATTAAATAAGAGTGTGCTGCGTTGCCTCTCTCAGTCTGTGTATTTTCATGAACAGTTATAACAAGGGACACAGCAAAGAGAGCAAGCTAAATTATAAATTGCTAAAGCAATAAGCTCAAAATCATGAAAAACACTCAGAATTTAAATGTTCCTAGGCGTATAAATGCATGCCTAAATATTAACATAAGACTAAGGTGAAGTCATAAAACTGAAAAATTTGTTACAAAAATCATTTCTCATTTTGCTCAAAAATTTAGATGTCTTTACATTTTAAACAGATAATCATCTGCCTACATTTTTTCCTCTACCTAAGTGGGAAATAACATAGCAGATTCCATGATTATCACTTTACAAAGTCTCGAAATAAATGTGCCCACCTCCCTTCAAAGCTAAACAGAGCAACTCCATATATTACCCATCCTGGCTCTTGCAACATCTCTTTACACTTTGCCTCATGCTTGTGGTATCAAATCCTACATCATCAATCACCTTGCAAATCTAAAACCAGCAGCTCTCCCCGAGTGTACTCATAGGTCCAGTGAGAGAAAGCCAACATCAGCTCCTCCAGGGTGCTTGTGGGGGTGATTTCATCACCGTTGTTGTTGTTGTACTTCCGGAACTCCCCTGTCATATATTTCTCAATGGTCAACCACTGGTTGGCTGAATGGCAGTAGATTAAGAAAACTTCCAGGAACCTGTTAGGGAAAAAGAGGCCATTGATCCCCACAATACAGCAAAAGTGGGACTTACCTTACTGAGCAGTCATCAGCAGGAAAGATTACCTAACCCTGGTATGATGCAGCCTCAATGCACATGCCCTTGCCCTTTCTATGGAAGGGATAGGATGCAAATATTGTTAATTTTTCTTTCCATGCTTACCCATCTCCCTTCACTTTGAGGAAACTTTCCAACTCTTTCATGAGTACCAGACCCAACTTTTCTTGCTGTGTTCTATAAAGTTCCTTGTAAATGAAAGAATGACTAAGTCCAGCACCAAATTATGATCTGTGTCTCAATAAATGAATCCAAGCGTATAAAGACACTCAAGTGAAAGTAACAAGGGTTTATTCTTACAAAATTCCTACTTTTATAAGATATTGGGGGAAGAGACCATGCTTACAATAAGAATAATTTTTCTGCCATAATGCCCCTGGACATTAATAATAACACCCAAGATCTGTCTGTTTCCCATAACTGAAATCTTAGTTATAGCCTCTGAATCTCTTTTTTCCACTCATGTTTATGTCCAATGATCAACACCAAGGTATCTCTGGGGTCTCTAATTCTCCTTTTGCCAGTCTCCGAAATTATGGAAGGAAGAATCCAAAAATAAGATCATGGGGAATTTCCCCATGGATAAGATTTCTCATGAGTAATGGGCTGAGAAGAGATAGATAGAAATTCCTACATAAAATAAAGGGCCAAGATGCCAAGATTTTCTTACCTTGGTGTGTAGGGAATGGTTTGTGGTTTCACTTGGTTGAAGGTATAGATCAATTTTTGAGCAGCTCTTTGTTGTTGAATTTCCTACAAAATAGGAAGCACTGATAAAAATACTGGTTTACTGTGGTACAGCTATGATCATGAAATTAGGACAGGCTACCCAAATGTGATTTTTAGCCTTATTCAACTCCCACCACTGCCTGTCCCAAAAGCAAAAGTCCTACAAAACAATACCACCTCTAAAAAATAATAGGCTCCCCTTTGGGTGGAAGATAACGGCCTCAGATAAGGATGTAACCAGATCTCTTTTCTTTGACCTGTCCCTCTGGGCTATGGGTCTCTGAGTTTCAGACTTACCCTGAGGCAAAGATGAAGCACAGTACTCTCCTGGAAGATTTTATGCCATGTCCGCACAACCTCAGGAAGAAAGGACTTGACAATGAAAACCTGTCCCGGCTTGAGAATGTCATCCTCAGACCAAGTGCTGACGACTCTCATAGCTTTACGGAGGCCCCCATCCATCTCTTCTCGGGACAACACCTGTATCATCGCAGCTCTCCCACGCTGAGACCAAGAGGACATGCTTTTATCAAGGTTTAAAGGGGAACTCTCCTCCAACCTGTAAACAGTTATTTCTTCTCCTGCTGCAAAGAGAAGTGAAGGCAAGGAATTCAGTAAGATTGCCATGTCTGTGACATGGATAGTATCCTAAATATCAATGCAGAATCAGTTCAGTTACCCAAATGACCAGAGGAAGATGGGACTAGCAGGGAACCGAAGAGAATAAGGACATGGATCTGGCCATGTTTCCACGTTATTTATTGTCTAGTAGATGTGGGGAAGGGGAGAAGGGACAAGTATCAGAGGATACAAAAGAATTAAGCTGTTCATACTGCAGACTATAACTGGACAAAAGCAAAGTAGTAAGGATATGCTTCTTCTGTTAAAGATAAATCCTTCTAAAGAGACGGTTTAACCTGATGGTCTTGCTCATTATCATCCCCCTAAGGAGCCTAATTAGACATTCTTTTCTAATTGTTCTTCTCATGACCTATTAATACAGGTTGCATATCCCTTATCCAAAATGCTTAGGACCAGAAGTGTTTCAAATTTCAGGTTTTTTCAGATTTTTGGAATATGTGTGTATACATAATGACATATCTTGGGGATGGGACCCAAGCCCAAACACAAAATTCATTTGTTTCATATACACTTTATACATATAGCCTCATAGTAATGGTATACAGTATTTTTAATAATCTTGTGCACGAAACAAAGTTTCAAAAGTGTCTTGACTCTGACCTGTCACAGGAGGTCAGGTGTGGGAGTTTTCCACTTGTGGCATCACATTAGCACTCAAAAAGTTTCAGACTTTGGAGCATTTTAGATTTCAGATGCATTTCAGCTTGAATTTAATACAAGCTCAACTTGTATTAAAAATATTCTGCATATCTGCTTATGTGTACTCTATGTAGATCTGTGCTTTATATCATTAAAAAAAAAACCTTATTTTTTTCTAGGGGTGATAATACTCCATTGAAAATGCATGGTTTAACTCAGCTGGAGTCAAATAGTACCAGCGTCATATCTCAGAGCCTCTCCTTCCTTCCTTTGTGCCTTTAGACAAGTTACTTAAAACCTCAATTTCCCCATCAGAAAAATGGGAATGAAAATACTGTTTTCATTGGGCTGTTGTAAAGGTTAAGTAGGCTAACATGGCCAAAGTGAATTACAACCTCAGATACAAACTCAATCCCACTGAAAGGATTTTAGACACAAAATACTACTTAACTGCTACATAGCTTCCACTTTTAGGCTGTTGAAGAGGGAAAAATTCCTATTCAACCTAAATGCTACCAAGTCAGTGTTTAATGTTTCTTAACAGAGCAACATACTCTATACATAACTTCTGTCCAGCTCCAGCTGGTGTTTCACTTCCCCCTTACACCTTTGCTTCATTTTTTTTTTTTTTTTTTTTTTTTTTAATGAACACGGTACTGGTTTACCAAGGAATCCAATCCCTCACTCTTGCATCTAATTCCTCACCAATAAACACATCTAGGTAATGCTCAGTAACAACTTTTCAAACCTTTCAAATATTTATTCTTGGTGCCCAGATAAATGCCACTGAAGATCTCTTTGAAATTCTAAATCCTTAGAGGCTTTAGAGCAGAGCTATTGATTTGCAAAGCCAGCCATGGGGCCAAATGGAAGGGGAAGGCATCTGCATTAACAGTCAGAGGCCAGGCCGGGTGTGGTGGCTCAAGCCTGTAATCCCAGCACTTTAGGAGGCTGGGCCAGGTGGATCACCTGAGGTTAGGACTTTGAGACCAGCCTGACTAACATGGTGAAACCCCGTCTCTACTAAAAATACAAAAAGTAGCCGGGCATGGTGGTGCATGCCTGTAATCCCAGCTGTATGGGAGGCTGAGGCAGGAGAATCACTTGAACCCAGGAGGCAGAGGTTGCAGTGAGCCGAGATCCCGCCATTGCACTCCAGCCTGGGCAATGAGAGCGAAACTCCATCTCAAAAAAAATACAAAAATAAAAATAAAAAAATAAATACAAACAATCAGAAGTCAACTGGTCTGTGCCCATGTGAACAGTGTGAGAAGAATCAAGCTCAAGGACACTTTGGGGACCCTTGCTATATTGTCAACTTGCTCATGCCTTATCCTGCCAGACAGAGAAATTTTGGTAGGCTTCGCCAGTGTGAGCTTGTTTTTCTTTACTACTCCAGACTTTTAAAATGACATTTGCAGTCTGAGGTAAGAGCAATTAGTGTACACAAAACAAAATAAACAAAAAAAAAAATACACAAAACATTTCTCTTCAGATGCCTGTTGGCTTTCACCATATTGACATTTATCGCTTTCTCCTGTGCTTATTATAAATGGTTGGTTTGTTCTTTTCTTCCCTACTTACTTCCAGTCTTGAGTCAGTGAATGCCAGGTGCAATATTATTGCTTTCTTCCCAACTGCTGCTCATTATAGGTCTTATTCCCATAGTATTAGATTTTGTCCCTGAATGCTGGCCATGACAGTTAATAAGAGTTTCCATTTTAGGAAATGAATCTCACTAAACTACAACCATCGACAAAATGAAATGTTCAACTAAAATAATTGCAATGTAGACCTTTGATTCACTCAGATTTTATGCCTCTGTCCTGGCATAACCTCAAGAAGGTAGAAATGCTACTCACCAAACAGTTGGATTGGTGTAAATGGTATGGTCTGAGAAAGCCTCATTAAATTATTCCTTTCAATGGCTGCAAACAAAAACAGATTTTCTATTTTAAGTATGCATCAGTGGGCTGAATTTACAGAAAGCCTCTCCACATCAATATATTCATATAATGCTATTTAATTTCAAAGACCTCTTATTTCTGCCATTATCAAAAATATAATCTATAATACAGTCTAAAAAATAAACTATGCCTTAAACAGGAAAGAAATCCCAATTTTAGAGGCATTTAATGTGAGATTATGTCACATGGTCTGAGGTAGGACTGTCACCTCCACTCTCCTGAATACCAAATCACATACTAATCCATACATACGTGGAACTTTCTTTTAAATGGCATTTTAATCTGTGAACTTTGGTTTTCCTTTCCAAAGCAAATCCAAAGCACAGTGGACTGTGGGGACACCTATTGTTCACTTTGCACAGTTCATCTTCTTTTTCCAGAGAGAGCTGAAGACCGATTTTAATTAGAAGCGAGTGATCTGCATTTTCCTGTTAAGAGCTATAGCCTAACAGATCAGAGTCAACATGAGTTACAGTATTCCTCACTAGAGACTTTCTTAAGTTGACGGCTGGAGTCAAAATAATAGATTACTGCCGAGCTGAAAGACTCAGTTGTAAGAGCCCGGATTGAGGAGTCTGGAATCCACTGCAACTCTATTCACCACAAAGGAGAATTCAGGATAAGGCAATCTATTACTAGACCCTGAACAAACAACCTCATATAATTATAACAGTAATTATCACACCAATAAGTTCTTACTCATGTATTGAGCTTTAGATTTGTAAAAGGCTTACCCATGTATTATCTCGTCCAACGCTGAGAGCAATGACTCCCAAGAAACCACCCAATGGCACCAGTCCAGTTGGTTTTTATATTGCTTTGCATTTCAAAGTGTTTTCCTCTTAATTCTCAACTAGCCCTTTGGCAGACTGTTCCTCAGGAAGGGCAAGTACAATTATTCCCACTTTGAAAGAAAGACAACTGAAGCACTGTGAAGGGATGTTGCTTAAGAGAGTCAAGACCCTTGACATCTTTGTTTAATAACATCTTTGTTGAACTCACTCCGTGGGGTTGGCATTCATTCAGTGATCATATTCACTGAGGCCCCACTGAGGGTACAAAGCCCTCCCTCAAGGAACTACTTTCAGGTCTGCCTTTTCCCCAGTCCAAAACATTGAGATCTCTGGTTTGGGGCTGGCTTTGAGCTTGCAAAGAATTTTTAGATCTCAAGGTCATCTTTCGACTTCACAATCTGGGACTTGAGAATGCAAACATTTTGCAAAAATCCAAATTCTCTTAAATTCTGAAAACTTGTTTTCCCAAGTCAATGGCAAAGTTAGACATTGCAATGTTCTTCCCATCAAAGCAAACAATAACTTTTCAAGTTGGGAGCCATGTCAGTAACACGGAATTTGTCAATGTTTCTGTTTACAAATGCAGAAGCACAGACATTTAGCTCAGCTGACATGTCTATGTGCACATGCATCCTACCTGAATAATGATGGTGAGGCTCTTGAGGGCTTTTTAAGGAGGCTGAGATCTCTGAAATTAGAGAGAAGATTGGCATTTTAATTACGTGGCTGGAGATAAATACATGCTTATGAATATACTGCCTTCAAAGTTATTATTGAACAGTTAATCAGAATGGCTTCTCAGTATTCGAAAAAGCTTGCCTAATATCTTTTAGCCACATTATTGCGTGTGGTATCCTGACAGCTTCCAATCATCAGTGTAATATCTCCAAACATATTTATATAGGGAATTGAAGAAAGACAGGTAATATTAGCCTCAAAGATGTATTTCCTCTGAACCAATTACACCTCTGGGTTGCAGAAGGCACTCAGCTGCCCATCATACTTCACGACATCCCAGAAGCATGATTCTCCGAGCTCCCTACCAAGATGCAGTACCCGTAGAAAGACAGTATTAATACCAAGTTATTAACAGACTACTTCACTGACCTAAAATAACAACAAAATGCCGAAAACACATTAAGAGCTACATACTGGAAACAAAGAAGAGGGTGGATAATATAGCACCAAGAGATTGGTTACACAAGGACTGTGTGTTGGGAATATCTCTTCCAAGTTTAACTCATTCTCTTCTGTCTGCTTCAGTCCTAAATTACAAGGCTCTAGAGAAATCCCTTGCAACAGTTTTGCTATTTCATAAAATCAAAATTAAAGTGGAGAACTTTGGTCTCATGATGGCAACTGCTTTATACCTAGAAGAGTAAGCAGCATAATGAGCCCAATTTTGCACATCTCTCTGGGTTTTTGTTGCTGGATAAGGAAAGGAACGAAAATCACTTCCTTTGGGGAGTGTTGGCAAAAAGTAAGATCAGCAGAAAAGACGGCTCCTTTCTGAAGTCATCAATAAAAACAAAAAGTATTCCACTCCCACTATGGATCATATTAGGCATGAGAGATATGGGTAAGATGTGGTTCCCACCCTACAGAAAAGCAAATGTATTAGGACAGAGAGACAGGTAACTATAATCACAATACAGTTAAAGTAATATACGTAATCAAGGTATATACAGAGGTTTATGGAACACATTAATTCCACCTGGAAGGTAGGGCCTTCATAAACTGTGTGAAATGCTTAAAGTGTATGGGCATCTGAGTCTGATAAAACTGAGTTTCAGTCTTGGCTTCACTACTTAAGGAGTTGTGAGACCATATTCATATTTACTCATTATACATTTATTGAGTACCTACTATGTGCCAGGCACTGGTCTATGCTCAAGAGGAAGAGCGGTAATTAAAACAGATAAAGTCTCTAGTTACATTCCAGTAAAAGGAAATAGAAAATAAATATATAGTACATATAGTATAGTATTTTTTTTTTGTGTGTGTGTGTGTGTGTGTGTGTGTGTGTGTGTTTATGCATCAACTTAAGAGTTAGAAAGCATGGGGAATAGGAAAGTTCCTGTTTTATATAGGATGGTTAGGCAAAGCCTCTCTCATAAGGTGAAATTTGAGCACAGAGTTGAAGGAAGAGAGGGGCAGCAATATGAATAAATGAAGACTATTCCAGTGATAGGTAACAGCAAGTGCAAATGTCCTGGGGCAGGTCCATGCTTGTCATGTTTAAGGAAGAGGGTGTACCCACAGTGAAATGCACTGAGAGAAATGAGGTTGGGGGGTGGCTGGAAAGCAGAACAGGGTGTTGTAGACTCTGTTTGGACTTTGCTTTTGCAAAGTGAGGAGGAATGCCATTTAAGCAAGAGGGACTCAGTTCAACTTTCAGTTTAAAAGGATTATTCTGGCTGTTTCTGGAAAAAGACTACTAGAGAGCAATAGTTTGGAGGCCATACTATAATCCAAGGAAGAGATTATGATTGCTTAAAAACGGTGTTATGTGGAAGTAGCAAAACATGATCAAAGTCTTGATATATTTTGAAAGATTTACTGATAGATGGGATGTAGGGATGTGAAAAAATGGAGGACAAGTATTGCAAGACTTTAGCCTCAGGAACTGGGAGGACAGAGTTGCCATCTCCTGAGATGAGAGAGGACAGTGTTGGAACATTTTGTTTGAGATACCTTTTAGACCTCCACACAGAGGTGTTACTATGTGGTCAGTCATATTCTGCAAGACAGAAATAGTGAATGAAAGAGATCATGCCTATGGGCCTGGAAATTTGAACTGAGATCCAGCTTTCAAGAGCATTGAGGAAAAACTCAGGGGTTTGCAGTCTGTCTTTGGGTAACAGGAAGTCATTGAAGGCTTCTACCTGAGTGATGATTTAGCATTCATAAAGATAATTCTGATAGAAACATAAGAAAGTTTAAAAGGAGACAAACCAATCAGAATGCTAAGACAAACTCAAGGGCAAATGAAAGTATACACTTTTGTTTTGGAAAATAAATAATGGTGGTTTTAAGGTAGGAGCAGTAGGCTAGACCAAACAGATCGCTTTGAAGATGTGGGGGTGGGGAATGGCTGGGGAGGGACGGAGTTAAAAGGCAAGGTTAATAATAGCTAAGAGCAATGGGGTGGGAAGGAGATTGTAAATGACTAAGATTTCCAGCTTGCATGAAGGAACAAGAGGCTCTCAGAAAGACCAAAAGTAAGTCAACAAAGAAGTAGAACAGCCAAAGAAGAGCTTCAAGGAAACATAGAAAAGAGAGGGTGCCATGAAGGAAAAATGGTCAATATCAAATGCCACGAGTTCAGCGAGTCAAGTGAGTTAGCAGTTGTAGTGGAGTTTCAGGAAAGTGATAGGGCACACTCCATGGGCTGAAGATCAAATGTTAATTGCTCTTTCAATTAATCTGGAGGTGAAGGGTTGGAGTGGCAGCTTGAAATCTAGGCAAATCAAGAAAAAGACGATTTGTTTCTTTTGTATACAAAACAACCTAAATTTGTTAGTAGGCTGAGGAGAAGGAATCAACTGCAAAGCAGGTAGGGGAGTACTGGAAACCCAAGAAAGTGTGATGAAACAAGAATACAGAAGATGAAGGTGCCTTTACATCAAGGAGTCAAGAATATGGAAAGGAGTTTGTAAATTGTAGTCAAGTTTGAGAGTAACTATAGTGGCTTTACCAGGGAGCTATCTCACATGACCTAGTTCTATTTAGCCATGTGGGGCCCCAGATCTTACTAAAACCCTACAGGAAAAGGCACCCATATAACAATCTTATAAATGGCTCTGAATGAGTAATGTGTGAAAAAACAAAAGGACAGTAAGAGTTGGTGAGCAAAATGAGCTCAGTGCTTACACTCTCATTCACACAGAAAATGGGGAAATGACAGTCAGAAACAGGTCATTCAAAAAGTTTAAACCAGACATCAATCCCAATTTGTCTGAAGAAAGATATTCAAATTTCTACTCTTCTACTGAACTTTCTACATTGCATGGTGGACAAAAATCATAAACACAATTTCAAGAATGACAAAAGTATCAGCAGGACAGTGAACCCCAGCATTAAAAAGATGAAAAAATAAAAAATAAAATGTTTAAATAGAAAAACTTACTGTCAACTCCATTTGAACTTTTCAGCCTGTTTGAAAAAACAATGAAGTTGTTTAGATAATGCTGCCTTAAATCTTACAATTATGAAAAAAAAAGGAAACAGCACGTGAAACAGTAACAACACAGAGTGTATATTTTATACACATGTAAAATACATATACAGTCAAGCACTGCATAATGATGTTTTGGTCAGTGACAGACAGCATATATTACAATGGTCCCATAGATTATAATGGAGCTGAAACATTCCCAACACCTAGTGACATCTTAGCCATCGTAAAGTGACAGTGCAATGCATTACTTATGTGTTTGTGATTATGCTGGTGTAAATAAGCCTGCTGTGCTGCCAGTCATATAAAAATAAGTACATGCAACTGTGTACAGCACATAATACTTGATGATCATGATGGATGACTATGTTACTGGTTTACGTATTTATTGTATTATGCTCTTTTTCATTCTTTTAGCATGTACTCCTTCTACTTGTGTTTTTTTTTTTTAAGTTAACTGTAAACAGCCTCTGGCAGGTCCTTCAGGAGGTATCCAGAAAAGGTATTGTAATCATAGAAGGTGATAGCTCCATGCATGTTATTGCCCCTGAAGACCTTCCAGTGGGACAAGATGAGGAGGTAGGAGACAGTGACACTGATGATCCTAATCCTGTGTAGGTCTAGGCTAATGTGTGTATTTGTGTCTTCATATTTTTAAAAAGTTTAAGAAGTAAAACTAAATAAATAATTTAAAAACAGAAAATGGCTTCTAGAATAAGGATATAAAAAAAGAAGATATTTTTGTACAGCTGTACAATGGATTTGTGTTTTAAGCTAAGTGTTATTGTAAAAGAGTCAAAAAGATTTTTTAATTTTTTAAAGTTATAAAGTGACAGTAAAGCTAAGGTTAATTGATTATTTAAAAAAGAAAAAAAACTTGTATAAATTTAGTGTAGCCTAAGTGTATGCATAAAGTCTCCGGTCATGTAGAGTAATGTCCGAGGCCTTCACATTCTTTCACCACTCATTCACTCTGACACCCAGAGCAAGGTTCCAGTCCTGCAAGCTCCATTCATTGTAAGCGTCCTATACAGGTGTACCATTTTCTATCTTTTATACTGTATTTTTACTGTACCTTTTTTGTGTTTAGATACACAAATACCATAGTTTACAGTAGTCAATACGGTAACATACTGTACAGGTTTGTAGCCTAGGAACAATAAGCCAGACCATATAGCCTAGGTGTGTAGTAGGCTAGACCATCTAGGTTTGTGTAAATGCACTCTATGATGTTTGTACAAGGATGACATCACCTAATGACACATTTCTCAGAATGTATCCTGTTGTTAATTGATGCATGACTGTATATATATTTGAAAGAGAAGTATTAGTTACATCTAATCCTTATTGTATCAATAAAGAAGTAAGTTTTCAGCGCTGCAAGTGTTTTTATAGAAAAATGAGCACCAGATCTGTATGTAAGTCATTTACTGTGTACACCCTCAGCTAATTGAAAAGCAGTTGTTTTTTAATTAGCTTTGTGATTCCACAATATATATAAGATGTAACTGTGTTTGTATTCTTCTGGATCAATTAAACTAAAAGGTTCCTGAACTACACAAAGCAGATGCCTACAAATGAGTCTGTAAATGTCTCTGGACAAGCCTACAAATCAGTTTCATTAGCCCACGTGGCCCCTAAATGTTCACAGGCTGAAATTAGTTCTCTTTAAATTGTTACTTGCCCTGCTCAAATGCACAAGTGGCCACAGGCGAGTCTGAATAAATACATTCAAATAATATCTTCGGTATTTAAGGTCCTTAGGAAAGAAAGTACAATTACGATTATTGTTCAAGTTCATGCTGCAATAACCCACTACTCTGCATGAGCACAAACTACTGAACCTTTGGGAGAAGAAAGTCACGTGTCCTTTAAGTCTGGAGGCAGGCTTGCACAGGGTCCATGACGGGAGGCCTAGAGAAAGACCATCTCTAAACAGAGCTGACTGCAAACTGAAAGTCACCTTCTACCTGCTGGGTATCAATTGGCACTTCCACAGAGTAGATGGTTTTGAATTCTACCTGTATGAATAGCTAATTTGATGATGCAACTAGGAAAGTCCAGAAAATACTACAAATAAAATAGGATAATGTTTGCTTGGTTGATTTACAACTTTCCTTTCTCTAAATATATACTAATAAAATTCCAGGAAGATACTCAAGTCTACAACCACGTGAGTTCTCTATATTCTTTCTCCCTCCATCCAAACTTCCTCTCCCTGTCTGTCTCAACCTTTCTCAGAGTTATTGCTTTGGTGATTAGGATGTTACTGAGCAACCAAAAACAAAAAAGATATGCCTTATAAACTAAAAGGAAAAAATAATTATTTTAAAAATTAAAGAATAAACGTAATCAGGTGTTCAGTCTAAGTCTGTTTCTTGAAGCAAGACAGATTGATTTCTACTCTTTTATGCAAATTCACAATCTTATCTATCCAAAAAGATATGATAATCATTATTCCATGTGTGTTTTGACACTGAAAAGGCAAACGTTTAATTTGTTATAGGAGTATGTGTTTCGTTATATTCTTAAAAGGCACTCAGGTGAGATCTTGTTGCCAGAGACAGGAAAACTTGAGAAGAAATCATTTTCATTCTGCTAACAAAAGAACAATATTGTCATTTGACACACACTTCTTTTTTCTCCCTTTCTGACTAAATTAAACCTTTGTTCCTAATCAAGTTAAAAAAAAAAAAAAAAAATAGAAGCCAAAGACTGTCAAAGATAAACATTTAGAAATACTCACAGGGAGTTCCTATTGAGGTTGGTGCTCCTGGAATTCCACAAAGCGTTTTTGCTGAGATCCTGAGCAGAAGGAAAGGCCATTACGTGTGTGCTCAACATAATCCCACCCCAAGTTTCTAGGAATGATCTGCCAAACACGCTTCTTGGAGAATCTTTCTTTTTTCTTCATCTACCTGAATATTCTTCTTTTAAAAAACATACTAAACCCAAGCCAGAAAGATGCATAATGTTAGGGCAATGTCAGAGAACTCAGTGCGTCGATGGACTTTAACAGAATGAAATTACCTTTAAGGAGATATCAAACAGAAAATGTAATATATGAAATTTTTTACAGACCAAACACAGAAAATCAGGACTAAACATACACAGTTAATGAGGATTGAACATACACAATCAGCTAATGACATGGAGAAAAATGAAAGTACAAGTTGACAGACAACACGGATCGTCACATTGTTATGTCTTATGAAAAGATTCTCATCTCAGGTCATGATGATTATTTAAAATAACATTACCTTGGATTTATCTCATTTGATTTCCTACTCAAATTCAATTATTTCCCGAGACCTAGTATACTCCAGGCATTACTCTAGGTAGGCCTTTTCATAGTTGTTATTTTTGCTGTCCGTTAGCAATAATCTCATAAGGATGGCATTAGTCCCACTTTAGAGATACAGCCAATGAAGCTTGTAGGTTAACTGATACACATAGCTTTGAAACGTAGAAAGTGGCAGAACCAGAATTTGAACACAGGTCCCTGCTTGCAATTATCCTCAAGTATTCTGACATTTTACTTTGAAAATCTTTCACAGATCCTATTCCTACAAGAATATCTAAGGTTGTTAGTATACAGTCATGTCCCAACAGTTCTCAAGTTCAAACAGGTAATATTCAAACAAAGACTTAAAATTAGATTTCTTGGGTGAAGCTAATTATTCACACTTCCCACATGGCGGATGGCACAAAACAAGGCCCATATTTTTAGACAGCAAGAAAAACAGACTGCAAAACCAGAGAATCTCAGCACTGAAGAAACACTAAGGGTCCTTTACCCCGCAAGGCTTGAATCCCCTCCATCATGCCTGCGAAGAGGTTTGTTCAGCCTATGCTTGACTGATCGCACTAGTGAGGGACTCACTACTTCCAGAAATAAATCATTCCATGCTTGGAAAGCTCCAATTGCTAAAAATTTCTCCTCAGATTGGGCTGAAATCTGTCTCCCAGTAGCTTCTATATGTTGATTCTAGATCTACCTCTTAAAAGAGTATAGAAAATAGCTTATTTTTCTTCCACATGACAACTTTCATATATTTGAAAACAGTTTCAAAAACTGAATTCTTTCATGCTAAACATCCCCAGGATACATTACTGAGCGGACAGGTAAATTGCATAAAGAAGAATGTCAAAGAAAGAATAATGTGTAGGGGATTGAAAAAATAGAACAGGAATTCAACTGAGCATAGCTTCAAAACAAAGATTAAACAGACTGTCAATAAAAAGTAGAAGCCAATTAAGGGACATAAAGGTAAACTGGGCATAGTCAAGAGAAGCACTGCATGCTCGAATGTTTTTTTTAACTCCTAAAATATTTTTTACCTCTTGAGACTGCTTTAGATAATCGCTGACTTGTACAGCACATTGCCCAATGTCTTTAGTTTTCGTTTTCTGATGTATGTAAGGTTTTACACCTTGTAAAGAGGAAGAGAAAGATTAGAAAATACATGAAAATGTGTTACATTCAAATCACAGTTCCCAAATAGAAAAATCTGAACACAGTACATTCATTTAAACTTGGATATAGTTTTCTCTTTCTGTTTTTAGCAAGTTTTACCAAGTTTCCTTTATCCTTTTTTTCCTCAAGAGGTTGAAAACTATATATTCTATTTCTATTCTTCTATAGTTACTTTCGCATTTATAACAACTTACACTTCTCTATCGAAGTCGAGAATTAAATGATCCATAAACTGTCCTCTTATAAGACAACACCTTTAGTAATTTTTATATCTACCTTGTCCCTGCACACTATTGCACATGCTTTATTTAAAATATGTGAAATTTAATTCCATTCCTAGTCTAATTAGGAGTCCTTCCTTAGCAACTGCATCAAACATCATAGTAGGCTACTTAAAAACAACAACAACAAAAGAATGATAGAGGCCAGGCGCCGTGGCTCACGCCTGTCATCCCAACACTTTGGGAGGCCAAGGTGGGTGGATCACCTGAGGTCAGGAGTTCAAGACCAGCCTGACCAACATGGGGAAACCCTGTCTCTACTAAAAATATAAAAATGAGCCAGGTGTGGTGGCACATAACTGTAATCCCAGCTACTCAGGAGGCTGAGGCAAGAGAATCGCTTGAACCTGGGAGGCAGAGGTTGCAGTGAGCCAAGATTGTACCACTGCTCTCCAGCCTGGGCAACAGAATGAGACTGTCTCAAAAAAAAAAAAGGAATGCCATCAAATAAATAGATTTAATTTTTAGCCTTTTATTAAAAAGGATGATGAGGATCATTACTGTTATTCTTTTTGTAGCTGGTACCTACAGAGTTACTACATACAGTAGATGCATAATAAATATTTAATGAATACTTGGTTGGATTAATTCTGAGAATAATACTTATTAGGAGTCCTGACTAAAAATAGGAGATAACGGTTGCATTTTTCCCTAATGATTTTGTGCTGGAAAAAAAAAAAAGTATACAAGAACTGTAAAAAATACTATTTGAAGGCCAAGTGTAGTAACTGGCACATGCCTGTAATCCTAGCACTTTAGGAAGCCAAGACAGGAGCATTGCTTGAGGACAGGAGTTTGAGACCCGCCTGGGTAACATAGCGAGACCCCCATCTCTACAAAAAATAAACAAAATTAGCCAAGCATGGTGGCACACGCTATAGTCCCAGCTACTCGGGCAGCTGAGGTGGAAGGATCGCTTGAGCCCAGGAGGTCAAGGCTGCAGTGAGCTGTGATCACGTAACTATACTCCAGCTTGGGTGATAGAGCCAGAACCTGTCTTTAAAAAAAAAAAAAAAAACAGAGAGAGAGAGAATGCTACCTGACAGGGCATCTGCCAATCCACAAACTGTTATTTTTCAAATTCTTTTTCAATTAATTATTAAGTCAGACACGTTTCAAAAAAATAAGGCTCCCAACTCCGGACGTGGTTCAAGGAAGACAGTGGGCCTCGATACTCACTCAGATTAGCCGGGCACTCGGATCAACCTATTTCCCTAGCCTTACCTCCCCGTCTGATCATCTGACTTAATGAGATTCTTTCCCAGAAACCTCCTGCCATTTGCATCTCTCTACGTTTGAAATTCATTGGAAAGAACCTAAATGATTTAAGAATGATATATAATATCCTAAACATAAATTACACTATTTATAAAAAAATACCTAATATATACATATAATATAAATATATGACATTTATAAATAAAATGAATCTATTTATAATTGGTCCTGGAGTCATGTCTTTAGGTGTGGGATTTGATTTATTCAAACTTATGGTCTCTAGCAAACGGCATGATTAAAGTCAAGGTGTATTAAGCTCTCAAGCTAATCTATAAATTGAGGGGGTGCTGACTAATGTAATTTCTAAATGTCTCTGTCAGCTTAGAATCCACTTGATTCTCAGTGATTTAACAGACAAGTGAGTATTTTTAACATAAAATCAGGGTTTCTCCACCTTAGCAATGACATTTTGGGCTGGATAATTGTCAGGAGGACCTATCTATCCCGTTCATTGTAAGATGTTTAACAGTATCCCTGTCCTCTACTCACTGGGTGGCAAAAGCATTCCCCTCCATTTTAGTTACGAAACAAAAATATCTCCAGACATTCCCAAGTGTCCTGTGGGGAAAGTGAGGGGAACGTGTAAAATTACCCCTTGGTTGAGAACCATTTACCATACGAACAAGCAGATTTTTAGAAAAGTCTGACAGCATAAATTTCAATACAATGTCTACTTGTACCTTAAGTTTAGTATTTTAAATATTTTTAAAACCTATGACTCCTTAATCACTTAGTCCTTTCTGTTTATTGGTAAAGGTCTCTTATCTAATGTAAGAAGTCCAAAGTTCTGATCATTGCTATCTTTTCTGTTCACAATCTGCCCTCATCTTACCTGTCCAGACTTATTTCACTGTCCAGGCCTAGCCCATAGTATTCATTCTTGGCTGGTTGATCCATCTTCTCTCCTCTACAAGCACCATTATTAAGCTTAAGAGATAATTTCAGTGTCACATGTACTTTAAGAATTTATAAAATTAAACAATCCCTGATCCATAAATCAGACTAAATGAATACTGTCTGGATAAAACACTCTGAGTAAGATTCAACAGCTTTGAATACAAGAGACTATCTAAATCTTAATTTTTCTTTTCTGGAGTACTTTAGGCAAAAAAAAATTTGTCCCTTTCATAAAAATTAAAAGCAGAAAAATGCTATTTTCCTTACAGAGTGTAACTACCTTCTCTTTCCCTCATCTCCATGTGAAAGAACAGGAGGGACCGCCAATGGTCTAAAGACTGGACCCTGAGAAAACTCCACCAGGTATTTTGGGATCCAAGAGTGTAGATGTTACATACTTGTCTGACTGCATTTGGACACTGTGAACCAGTTCTTGCTGTACTTCTCCTCAGACATGCTGTTTTCTCCTGGCTCTGGATTCAATTGGTCACTCTGAGAGCAGGCATTAACTGTTATGATCTGGAGATAAAGACACTTGTTGGAACACAGTGACATTAATTCAAAAGCACAGTGAGTCACACTAATAGAAGAACCATGGTGAAGGGCGGTGTCTGTTAACACTGGCTGCATATTACAATTGCCTGGGAAGTGCTGACAAATCCCATCACTTAGGCTGGCAGGACACAAGCATCCACGTGATTTCTCTTTGCAGTCATAACTGAGAACCCCTACTCCACACCTTAGTTCTTAATCTTGAGTGCACATCAGAATCACCCAGGCTTAGGGGCCGGTTTAAGCCACAGGTCACTGGATCCCACCCCTGGAATCTCTAATGCAACAGGTCTGGAAGGAGGGAGAATTTGAATCTCTAATTCCCAGGTGATGCTCATGCTGCTAATAGGAGATCATATTTTGAGAAAATGTTTGAATCCAAAGAATTCGTGTTGGAATTCTAGCTCTGTCACTTAGAAGCCATGTGAATTTGGGAAAATCACGTAATGTCTTTAGCCCCTTTTCCTTCATTACTAAAACAATAGATAGCCAATAATATGACTGTTCTATATATTTCCGAGCTGCAGAACAAACGGGGTAAATTGGTAACTCAAAAGCAATAAATAAATAAATGCAAGCTTGAATTACTGAACTCAGTTGCAATTTCTAGTTGAACACTGGACATGTGAACTATTCCAAAAATAAATCTACTTAAGTGCATATTTCTTGGGATTGCAGAAACTCACGGCATTTTCCCTGAAAGAATAGCCTTCCTTATCTCTCCCCTAAAAGGTGCTTTTACATAATTGTCTCAATACTAATCTCTTTGCTTCTGCTTCTCATTCTAAAAAAAGGCTAAGGTATTTTTTTTAATGCATCCAGATTATTATTTAGAAAAATAAGTGTAAAAATTTTTTAAATAAGGCAGAGCATTAAGATCATGAAAGGTGAATTCTTACAGAATTGCTACTTGAGATCTAAAACTTCCTAATGATATATAAAAAGACTCACTGAATGAAAATAAAAACAACACATCAAAATTTGTAGGAAAGAGCTCAAACAGTGCTTAGAGGGAATTTTATAACACTAAATGACTACATTAGAAAAGAAGGCCGGGCACAGTGGCTCACACCTGTAATCCCAGCACTTTGGGAGGCTGGGGCAGGTGAATAGCTTGAGTTTAGGAGTTTAACAAACAGCCTGGGCAACATGAAGAAACCCCATCTCTACAAAAAAAAAAAAAAAAAAAAAATTAGCCGGGTGTGGTGGCACACCTGTGGGCCCAGGTACTCGAGGGCCTGGGGTGAAAGGATCACTTGAGACTGAGAGACAGAGGTTGCAATGAGCCGAAAAAACAACTGCACTCCAGCCCGTGTCAAGAGTGAAACCCTGTCTCAAAAAAAAAAATTTAAGAAGGAAGTCTCAAATCAATGACCAAAGTTTCTACCTTAACAAACTAGAGGCCAGGCGTGGTGGTTCACACCTGTAATCTCAGTACTTTGGGAGGCCGAGGCAGGCAGATCATGAGGTCAGGAGTTCGAGACTAGCCTGGCCAAAATGGCAAAACCCCGTCTCTACTGAAAATACAAAAGCTAGCCGAGCATGGTGGTGTGTGCCTATAGTCCCAGCTACTTGGGAGGCTGAGGCAGGAGAATCACTTGAACTCGGGAGGTGGAGGATGCAGTGAGCCAGTATCGTGCCACTGCACTCCAGCCTGCGCTACAGAGAGAGACTTTGTCTGAAAGACAAACAAACAAACTAAAAACCTAGAAAGAGAAGAGCAAAGTTAAACCCAAAGTAAATAGAACAAAAGAAATAATAAAGATAAGAGCAAGCATGAATGAAACAGAAATCAGAGGCTAGGCGTGGTGGCTCATTCCTCTAATCCCAGCACTTTGGGAGGCTGAGGCAGGCGGATCAATTGAGGCCAGCCTGGTCAACGTGTCGAAAACCTGTCTCTACTAAAAATACAAACATCAGCTGGGCATGGTGGCACAGGCCTGTAATCCCAGCTACTCAGGAGGCTGAGGCAAAAGAATTGCTTGACCCTGGGAGATAGAGTTTGCAGTGAGCTGAGATTGCGCCACTGCACTCCAGTCTGGGCGACAGAGAAAGACCCTGCCTCAAAAAAAAGGGGTGGGGGGGTGCGGAGGAAGGGAATCAGAGAAAAATCAATGAAAACAAGAGCTGGTTCTTTGAGATGATCAATAAAACAGATAAACCTGTAGCCAGACTGATTATGAAACAATGAGAGAAAATCCAAATTTAAAATGTTAGGAACGGCCGGCCGGCATGGTGGCTCGCCCCTGTAATCCCAGCACTTGGGAAACCAAGGTGGGCAGGTCACCTGAGGTCAGGAGTTTGAGACCAGGCTGGTCAACATGGTCAAACTCCATCTCTACTAAAAATACAAAAATTAGCCAGGTGTGGTGGTAGGCACCTGTAATCCCAGCTACTTGGGAGGCTGAGGTGGAAGAATCGCTTGAACCTGAGGCAGAGGTTGCAGTAAGCCAAGATCAAGCCATTGCACTCCAGCCTGGGCGACAAAGCAAGATTCCATCTCAAAAATAAATAAATGACTAAATGAAATAAAATGTTAGGAACAAAACAAGTGATGTCACTACCCACAGATCTCAAAGACAATAAATGAATAATAAGAGAAAATTATGAGCATTATGCCAATACATTAAACAACTTAAACAAAATGAATAAATTCTTTGACACACACAAAAAAAGCTCATTCAAGAAGAATTACATAACCTAAATAGCTCTATATCTATTACAGAAACTGAATTTGTAGTTAAAAGCTTTCCCACAAAGATGGTTTCATTGGTTAATTCTACCGAATACTTCAGACTGAAATAATATCAATTCCTTACAAATTCACCCAGAAAACTGAAGAGGAGGGAATACTTCCCAACTCACTAAATAAACCAAGCATCATCCTGATACCAAAACCAGACAAAGATATTACAATAAAAGTGAACTAAAGACAACTATCCCTCAATAATTGATGCCAAAAAACTAATGAAAATTTTAGCAAAATGAAACAATATAAAAAAAAAATCATGACCAAGTGGGATTCATCCCAGCAAGGTAATTTAATATTCTAAGAATTCTAACATTATAAAATTAATTAATGAAATTCACTGTAAAATAACACAATCAAAAGGAGAAATATCTGATCACCTAAATAGATACAGAAAAAGCATTTGACAAAGGCTAACATCCACGAATGATAAAAATTCTCTGAAAACTAAAAACAGAAGGAAAGTTTTCAGTCTGATAAAGTGCATTTACAGAAAAACCTGTAACTCACCTCATTCTTAATGGTAAAGGATTAAATGCTTTTCCCCTAAGAACAGATACAGGAAAAGATACCTGCTTTTATCACTTCTAGTCAATATTATACCAGAGGTTCTGGTCAGTGTAATCAGGCAAGAAAAGGAAATACAATGTGTCCAGATTGAAAGGAAGAAGTAAAACTATCTATGTTTGTACATGATATGGTCATGTATATAGAAAATTCTTAAAAAGCTACACAAAAACTACTCAAGTAAGGAAGCTTAGCAAGGTTGCAAAATATAAGACCAGTATCAAAAAACTTCCATATACTACAAACAAATAATCAGATATTAAAATTGTTAACTAATTGCAGTTATAATAAAATCAAAAATATGAAATAGGGATGCATTTAACAAAATATGTGCAAGATCTGTACTCTAAAAACTATAAAATATTACTTCAAGAAATCAAAGAAGACCTAAATGGAGAAACATATCATGTTCATGAATCAGAAGATTCATTATTGTTAAGATGTCAACTTTCCCGACATTGACATATAGATTTATGGCAATTCCATTCATAATCCCAGCCCACTTCTCTATAAAAATTGACAAGCTGATTCTAAATTTATAAGGAAATGCAAAGAACACAAAATAGCCAAACTTCTTAAAAAAGAAAAAAATTGACCTTTAATATATGACTCAAAAATTATCATAAAGTTGTATTCAAGATAGGATAATATTGGCATAGAGATAGAAATTGATCCATACATTTTGTGATCTATATGGTCAACTAATTTTTGACAAAGATGTCAAAGCAACTCAATAGAAAAAAGATATCTTCTATTATTGTTAATATGGTCAAGAATAGAATTGAAAAAGACATCTTTTTACCAAAAAGTAGTAGAAAATTTTGATATTCATATTCAAGAAAGAGGAAAGAAGAAACTCAATTCTTAGCTATCTTCATATACAAAAAATTACCTCAAAATGGACTACAGACCTACATGCAAGAGCTAAAACTATAAAATTCCTAGAGGAAAACATGAGAATAAGTCTTAGTGATCCTGGCAAAAATATTTTAAATGTGATACAAAAATCATAGACTATAACAGAAAAGAATCAAACACTTCATCAAAAAAAATATGACTTCAAAGGACATTTACGAAAATTAAAAGGCAAACCACTGAGACAAAATATTTGCAAAAACGTCTACTCAAAAAAGGATTTGAACATATATTTTAAAATGCTCACAACTTTATAATAAGACAACAACCCAATTTTTTAAATGGGCAAAGATCTGAACAAACATGTCACCAAAAAAGATATACCGCCATGCCCCTCATAACAATATTTCAGCCAATGACAGACCACTAATACAATGGTGGTCCTATAAGATTATAACGGAACTGAAAAATGCCTGTCATCTAGTGACACTACAGCTGTGATAACATGTAGCACATTTTTTAAAAATAAATTTAGTGTAGCCTAAGTGTATAGTGTTTATAAAGTCTACAGTAGTGTACAGTAATGTCCTAGGCCTTTGCATTCACTCACTGCTCACTCACTGACACTCCTAGAGCAACCTCCAAGTCCTGCAAGTAAGTGCCCTATACAGGTGTACCAATTTTTATATTTTATACTGTACTTTTACTGACTCTTTCTATGTTTAGATACGCTTAGATACACAAATACCATTGCGTTGCAATTACCTAAAGTGTTGAGTACAGTAACATGCTGTACAAGTTTATAACCTAGGAGCAACAGGCTACATGGTACAGCCTAGGCATGTGCTAGCTTAGACCATCTAGGTTTGTGTAAGTACATTCCATGATGTTTGTGCCATGATGAAATCACCTAATGACACCTTTCTCAGAAAGTATCCCCATCATTAAGCAATGCAAGACTGTACAGAAAGCAAATAAACACATGAAAAGATGTCTAGTAGCATTCGTCACTATGGAAATACAAATGAAAACTTCCAAAACTCATGTTAAAACTTACTTCTCAGTGTAATCGTATGAAGAGACGGAGCCTTTAAGAGGTGACTGGATCATGAGGGCTCTGGCTCACGAATAGATTAATTCATTCATGAGTTAGTGGATTATGGAGGGGATGGGTTATTTATCATGAGAATGGATCTGTTATAAAAGCCTGTTTGGCTCTCTCAGGAGCCCCCCTCGCCATGTGCCACCTAGGATTCTGCAGAGAGTCTCTACCAGCAAGAAGTCCCTACCAGATGTGTTTCCTCCACCTTGGACTACCCAGCCTCCAGAACTGTAAAAATAAACTTCTTTTCTTTATTAACCATGCAGTCTTGGGTTTCTATTATAGCAACACAAAACAAACTAAGATAGTGAGGATGTGGAACAGTTGAAATGCTCACAAATTACTGGTGGGCATGTAAAATATTATGATTACCTTGGAAAGCAGTTTGGAAGTTTCTTTAAAAATTAAAAAACACTTACCATATGACTCTGACATTCCATTCCTAAGTATTTACCAAGGAGAAATTAAAACATATGTCCACAAAAAGACTTGTACACAAATGTTCATGATAGTTTTTTTGGAATAGCCAAAAATTGAAAACAACCCAAATGTCCTTCAACATGTTAGCAGATAAATAAATTGCAGTATATCCACTCTAATGACTCTTAAATTTATATCTGGGTGTGATTGTGTACACCTGTAGTCCCAGTTACTTGGAAGGCTGAGGTGGAAGGATTAATTGTGCCCAGTCATTCAAGATCAGCCTGGACAACATAGCAAGACCCCATCTCTTAAAAAGAGGAACAAATTATATCTTCAAACCTTTCAATACAATGTTATTTTGTGTAGATGACACTTTACAATAAAGATAAATCAAACTAAGACCACCACCTTGACTGCTCAAAACCTAAAAGATGGAATAACAGTACACTTACTGGCACCTGGAGTCCTTGAGTATTCTTCTTTTTCTTTGACAGTCTCCTGTCTTTGGTTAGCATTTTTGCTTTGACCCATGCTCCCTGCCCTATTTCTGAAGAGCTTGAAAGATCTGTAAGGGAAATGGTCTACATGAGAAAGTTGACAACAGTAAGGGGGGGCCATTTTGTTTTACAGAAAAAGCTGACAGAACGGGGAGAATGACAATGTGGTTAAGAGTCATAGATTAAAAAAAAAAAAACAAAAAAAACTGGTAGCAATGCAAAGGACTTCATGCTGTTTTTTAAATGTTTATTCCTTACTTTTAATCTTACAGATCTTCATCAATTTCTCCTCCTTATGGAATCTAAAACTATGACTCCTAGCGAAGGGCCTGTCTCTGCGGAGAGGATTGATCCAAAAGGATGTGTTTGGCTGAAGCCATGGTCCCACCTCTGAGCATTCACTACTCTGGGCCGATCTCGTCGAGTTATCAGATAGGGAGCTGCCCTGGGTCTGCTTCTGGTGCTGTTCACTCCGAGCGGAATCACTGTCACAAGTGGAAGGCAAGGAGGTTTGCCATTTTTTCTTGATGCTAAACACACCAGTTTCATCGCCTTCTGAAAATGCCCAGTTTACATATCCACCTCCAGTTTGCATGATCTTGGCTTGGGAAAGAGGGGAGGTTACTGTCATGGGTTCAGGTGTGCAACTCAAAGTGGGTAGCACTTGCTCCGACTTGTCTTGTCCATCCACTAAGTGAGCAATTGGCTCGTGCTGTTCCTTGGGTTCATCCACTGATGCCTGGTCAGAGACACCTGGGGTCTGCCCAGTCAGATGAACAAGAACCTCAGGATGGATGTCCTGTTCATTTGCCAGCACATCTGTATCTGCTTCCACAGAGGGTCTGAATAGAGGAAAGACAGTTTCTGCTGAAAAAGGAACTCGCTTTAGATTAGAAGGGACCAGAAGAAACTGGCCATACTTTGAGTGTGCTTGCTTGTTAGGAGACCCCCCAGAAGCCACTATACTACTTTCTGTTTTTTGCTTTTCCTGGTCATTTCTTACATTTGCAGTGTCTCTTTTACTGTCTGTAATCTCAAGAAGCGCCCCCCTCTGCACTCTTGGGGGATGCCGGCCTCCAGCCAGGCTCCTCAGCAAAGAAGAGGGCATGCTATAATACTGGTATTTCTTCTCTCCAGCGATCTCCATGCTGCCTAGAACCTCTGCACAGATGACATTGCTCCAGCTGTGGGGAAGTTTTTTGCAAGTCGAATGCTTTCTCTTGGCCAGGAGAGCCTCATCCTCTTGCAAGGTGTCAACAGCAGAAAGGACTTTTAGGGTATCCACAGTCAGGGCAGAGAGATCCTGCAGGTGTCCCACCTGGCTATCCAAAGACAGTAAGGAGTCCTTTATAAAAGACACCTTTTCATTCATTTCTTTCAGTTGGAAGTACATCTCTGTAACCCTAGTGGTGAAGGGAGGGAGAAAACCAACAAGCACATTAAGCCAGTGGGAATTTGCTCTCTTCCTACCCTACTTCCATCCTTAAATGGCTCCTCAGTCTCAGTTGCTTCCCTAGGTTAAGTCTGTCTTTTGCCTTCTTCTTCCCCCAATACATAACTCTCATCTCAGGTGATCTCATCCACTCCTATAATGCCCACTGCTACCCATAGGAGAGGACAAATCACAAATCTACATTTCTAGCCCTTCTTTCTTTTTAATATTTCAGAGCCACATTTCCAGTTCCAGCTAATGATTCCTTCAATTGTGATCAATCATCCCATTTTTATTCATTAATACATTTATTCATTTACATAACAAACACTTGAATACTTCCTAATAGCAAGCATTGTACAATTTTAATGTGTATAGGAGATCCTGAGGAAGAAAGAATGATAGAAACAGAATCAATAATCAAATATGTAATTAAGAAGAAAAAAACACGGATCTTTAAAATTAAAAAAAAAAAAATCTCTAACTCTACTGTTCAAACAGGCTTCCCAAGTTTCAAACAAAATCCATTTTAGAAGACCTATATTCAGAAAAAGCCTAATGCAAATTTTTAAAGTTGTTTGAATACTTTAACTGAAGATTATGATGTTCAGTCACTGATTCATGTAAAAGCAACACAACGCATCTTCACCTATTCAAATGTAAATATAAGTTGCGAGCAAATTGAATTAAATGTAACAATTAGTCCAGGTGCAATGGCTCAGGCCTGTAATCCCAGCACTGTGGGAGGCGGGTGGATCACTTGAAGTCAAGAGTTCGCGACCAGCCTGGCCAACATGTTAAAACCGCATCTCTACTAAAAATACAAAAATTAGCTTGGCATGGTGGCGGGCACCTATAATCCCTGCTACTCAGGAGACTGAGGCGGAGGTTGCAGTGAGCCCAGATCATGCCACTGTACTCCAGCCTGGGTGACAGAAAAAGATTCCATCTCAAAAAAAAAAAAAAAAGTAAAGATTAATTTAATTGAGAGATGGTTACTATATGTCTGTACATTTCCTTGTAATTATCTCTGTATACGGATGAGGTTGGTTTTGTATCCCCCAAAAAGGATATGTTGAAGCCTTAACCCCAGAACCATAGAATGTGACCTGATTTAGAAATCAGATATTGATAGAGTAATCAAGTTAAAATGTGATAATCAGGCTGAACCCTAATCCAGTATGACTGGTGTCCTTATAACGTGAAATTCTGACATGGACACACACAGAAGGAAGACGATGTGAAGACACACAGGGATAAAATGGCCATATGACTGGAGTGATGCATCTATAAGCCAAGGAACACCCACGGTTGCCAGCAAACACCAGAAGCTAGAAGAGGCAAGGAAGGATAGTGACACCTTGATTTTGGACTTCTAGCTTCCAGAAGTATGAGACAATAAAGTTCTGTTATCCTAAGACACCCAGTTTTTGGTATTTTGCTGCAGCAGCCCTGGGAAACTAATGCAGCTATCTAAACTTCACTAGCAACGGAATAAATTACAACATGTATGAGTTGATTACATAAAAAGAAACTTGTATGAGAAAATAGAATACAAAAGTTTAAAACAAAAATAAATGGGAAAACTAGTATTCTAATAAATTTAATGAGGCATTGATATCCCTTGATTAAGCAAAAACTTTCATATTTATTGAGGGAAAAAAAATTACCAAGACTCCCAAGGATACGAACAGATGAAAAGATAAAATACAAAAGGTAAGAAAACCCAGTAAAATCATCAACCTCATTAGGCAATCAGAGATGAAAATTAAGATAATAATGAGTTCATCTATATCATAACAGCATTCGTTTTATTTAAAAAAGAAAAGGTGAAACAATTCCGTGATAGCAAGGATGGAACATAGGGACACAATAAATATAAAGGAAATGTAATCTTACTATGCTAAAACAGACAGATATTTGTTATATTATGAGACAGAATATTATGCAGCCATTAAAAATCATACTCACATTGTTGATAATTATTTTATAAGGCTATTTCTGGTGGTAGAGGCAGGGCTGGGGATGTCTAGTATGTTCGGTATTATGTTTTTTAAATTGGTATAAAATTTTTAAGTGAAGAAATAACAGTTAAAATATATTTACAAAGTATATGTAATTAATTGGAGAAAATATTTTTGATGCGTAAGAGTGGAAAAAAAAACAGGATACAAAATAGTATCATTTTAACTGGAAATATGTAGAAGACTAAATTTTAAAAAGCCAAAATTTTCATAGTGAACTCTGGCATATCACATTGTTTTTTTCTTTCTTTTCTTCCCTTGTTCTATTGTTTGGGGGAGAGGAGGTATAGTTTCAGTTTCTCAACAATGAAAATCTTTGATAAACAAGATTAAAGTAAAAAAACAGCGTGGGAGGGAATGTAACCAACTGTGTCATGGCTGACATGACCATTGCAGAAATGAAAAATGATTCCTGCTCTTATCTGGGGGCAGGGAGAAGTCGTGATTATGCCATGAAGAGTTTAACACTCAGCTGTAACAAGTACTTCCCAAAATAGTGTTAGACTTCCCATCTTTAGAACACATCTCAAGTCACAGGGATTGAAAGAAAGATTTTCCACTTCCTCTTTCTGGGACCTTTGTAAATAGAAATTAAAGAATAAAAAGAGTGGCATCTTCCATTTTTATTATATTCTATGTGAGTAGAACCCTCTTTTTTTGCTTCTGCTATAGAATTCAACTTCTATAACTCAATAGAGGCTTAACAAATGCTTCCTGACCTTCTGGAATCTGCAAAATTAGAACTGGCAAGGATGATGTGGGAAACAGCACAAAATATATGTATACTCCCTTCCAAATACGCTTAATTAGAGCCTCTCCATCCAGTGCACTGTTTCATCTAATTCAAAAACAGTACAGTCTGAACACCAGTAATGGAGACTCATTAAGTTCCATTAGCAGCAGTCACATCGAATGATACAATAGAAACCAGCAACTATTCACAGCCACAGGTAACACGCTACAATAGAAACCTGTTAGACAAATAACCTGGTCACCCTCAAATCAGGTCCCTTGCTTTTACAGGCACTTAATTTCTAAAACTTGATGTCCTGTGAAACATATTTTAATTATATTGCTGGACCACCAGTGACATTAATTTAATCTAGTCTTTCAGTCATTCTGACACATAAAATTTATCATTTTAGTTTCTTCCAAGCAAGGTACGAGGACGGAAGAAAGATGAGAATGGTAATTGTTTTATTATGGGCCTTTAGGCAAGATGCCTTAAAATGAGATAACAGCAAGTACAATTACAGTCATCAGGAAAATCACCATATTCACTGAGTGCTCACTATGAGCCAAGCATTTTATAAAGATCTACCTGTACTATTTTATTTAATCCATGTAACAACTCTATAAGGTAGGCATTACTATTATCCTTTCATAGAAAAGAGCTTGGCTTGGCCAGGCACGGAGGCTCATGCCTGTAATCCCAGCACTTTGGGAGGCTGAGGCAGGTGGATCATCTAAGGTCAGGAGTTCAAGACCAGCCTGGCCAATATGGTGAAACCTCGTCTTTACAAAAAAAAAAACAAAATTAGCCGGGCATGGTGGCAGGCACCTGTAATCCCAGCTACACGGGAGGCTGAGGCAGGAGAATCACCTGAACCCAGGGGGCAGAGGTTGCAGTGAGCTGAGATCATGCCATTTGCACTCCAGCCTGGGCAACAAGAGCGAAACTCCGTCTAAAAAAAAAAAAGGGGGTTAGGTCACATAGCCAGAGTCACATGGCCCATGAAAACGTCAGGAATCAAACCCAGACAGGCCGACTCCATATTCAGTGGCATTGACCATCGCCTTCTGGTACCTCTCACCAACTCACCTAGGATCTAGGCAAATTCTTTTGGGGATTCCGAGAGTACCATGAAGTACTACACGAGCTACGCCAACAACTCTCATGCTGGGAGGTGTCACAGATGTTACTCAATAAGGTTTCATGGTCATATAGTGGTAGGACCTGCTTAAGCTATAACTCTGTACTGACAAATTACAAGGCACATTATGTTACAGTGTTTATACTTTTTAAAACCACAGTATTTCCCAAATATAATGTACCAAGACATGCTTAATGTGGAAAAATACCTAAAAGCATCTTACTGCACAGAACAGAGAAAGGGAAAAGCTGACTTACACTACTAGGATCAAAAAAGAAGTTAGAGTCCCAAATAGGGAAAGTAAGATTTAAAACAGCCTCGTTATGTTCTCTTTTTCCACTGTCACAACTCACTTGATTCTAGGAGGATATAGCAATCTCTTCTTCAGAGGTAGGCTAACATGCAAAATCCTCCGAACCTTCTTCCCCTCCCTCTTCAAACTATTTCTTAGTTACCTCAGGAAATATTCTCACCTCTTTCCCATACCTCATTTATGAGGTCCCCACAAATGACCTCAACAAAGATGACAGTATAAAAACAGTGCCACTGAGATAGCTCCATCAAGAGGGAAAATGGATTGCATTTTGAAGTTTAATTAGAGCTGCAGGCTCAGATGCAGTAACTCATGCCTGTAATCCCAGCACTTTGGGAGACTGAGGTAGATGGGTTGCTTGAGGCCAGGAGTTCAAGACCAGCCTGGGCAGCATTAGCAAGACCCTGCTTCTACAAAAATTAAAAAATTAAAAATTAGCTCAGCGTGGTAGCATGTGCCTATAGTCCTAGCTACTTGGAAGGCTGAGGCAGGAGGATTGTTTGAGCCCAGAAGTTCAAGACTGCATGAGCTCTGATCACTCCACTGTATATCAGCCTGGGCGACAGAGCAAGACTCTACCTAAAATAATAATAATAATAATAATAAATTAGAGCTTCATAACCAAATTCTAAACCTCTTGGAAGTACACATAATTTTCAGAAGGTACATATCCATTTAACTTCTAACCCTCTACTCAAATCCCAAGAAAAGAATCCAAGAGAAATACAATGCTTTATGATGGTTAATGTTTTTAGGATTTTATCATTGAATTACTGGTTTATAAATGTCTGGTTCTCAATTTTCACTCTGTGTTCCCTTAGCTTATGATACCACCTTCTTCTAGTTCTCTTTATACTCCTCTGAATGGTTATTTATGGTCTTCTTCATGAGTTTCTCTTTCTTTGCCCATTACAGGTGTTGGCGCCTCCCGGGATTTAACTCTCAGCTCACTAGGTTCCCTCACTCTTGCTTCCTGGGCATAATCGCTTCCTCTGTCATACTTTTAGTTTCCTACAGTAGGCAAGTGACTCCTACAGTTGACTGTCCCAATAAGCAGATGAGCTCCTCCACTAGTGCAAATGCTCCCCAGGGCCTTGAGATGCACACATCCAAAGCCTCCTGAACATCTCTGGCTAAATATATTACAAGAATCTCAGCTCAAGAAATCTAAACCTCATTGCTTTCTCCTCATACCTCCTATGCCTTCTTTATCTCGGTGGTGCCAGCTTTTACCTGATTACCCCACTCTGGTCTGAAAGTCGTGCTGGACTCTATGCTCTCCCTTAGCTCCACATCTGATCTTTAACATGCCTAATGAATTGTTCTTTCTAAATGTCATATTCACCCCTTCCTTTCAATCCCACCACCACCAACCTTGGCAAAGTTGTGGACACATCAGTGCGCTGCACTGTTCTCTCAAATGGTCTTCCTGGTTCCTATTCTGACCCCTCAAATCCACACCATTACTGAAGGTAAATCCGTCCATATCTCTGACCACCTAAAATCCTTCCTTAGTTTAGAGTAACCAGCTCTCCATAAACTTATCCCAGTTCATAATCTTATCTGTTCATTCCCCTTTCCTTAAGGGTTGGAGGGAAATTTGTATTTAAAAAGAAATTATACTCACAAATTTGAGAGGCCCACTTTTACTTAATAATAGATAACTTTCATTGTACCCTTTCTATGAGTCAGCACTCTGCCACACAGTTCATCTATATTATCTCATTTAATCATCACAACATTTCTAAGAGGTAGGGCTATTTCCATGGTTTGTTTATTTGTTTGTTTGTTTGAGACACAGTCTCATTCTCCTGCCCAGGCTGGAGTGCAGTGGTGCGATTTCAGCTCACTGCAACCTCCGCCTCCTGGGTTCAAGCGATTGTCCTGCCTCAGCCTCCTGAGTAGCTGGGACTACAGGCATGTGCCACCACTCCCAGCTAATTTTCTTTGTATTTTTAGTAGAGATGGGGTTTTGCCATGTTGGCCAGGCTAGTGTTGAGCTCCTGATGTCAAGGGATTCACCTGCCTTGGCCTCCGAAAGTGTTGGGATTACAGGAGTGGGCCACCTTGCCCAGCCTCCATGTCTATTTTACAAATAAGAAAATGGCCGAGCACGGTGGATTACACCTGTAATCCCAGCATTTGGGAGGCTGAGGTGGGCAGGTCAGGAGATGGAGAGCATCCTGGCTAACACTGTGAAACCCCATCTCTACTAAAAATGCAAAAAATTAGCCGGGTGTGGTGGCACACACCTGTAATCCCAGTTACTCGGGAGGCTGAGGCAGGAGACTCACTTGAATGTGGGAGGCAGAGGTTGCAGTGAGCTGAGATCATGCCACTGCACTCCAGCCTGGCGACAGAGTGAGACTCCGTCTCAAAAAAGAAAGTAAAGAAAAAAGAAAACCAAGACTCAAAGGGGTTCAGCAAATTTGCCCATGTCCATATAACTAGTAAGTGCCTGAAGTAGGACTTCATCCCAGCTCCGTACGCTCCTAATATGGGTCTATGCTTCACACAAAACGGATAACCAAGCTTGCCTGTTGCAATCAGTGAGCATAGCTATAAAGGGGGGCAGAACGTGTAGAAGAAGGAAAGAGAAATTCATGTAACTATGGACTAAAGATATTATGTAGGTGAAATCACATTTTGTGGGCTCAAACTTTGATACTCAATTTTTTCTCAATATTAAATTTGATCTGAAATTCAGTCAGACACAGAAACACAGATTTATATAAATATGGTACCAAGAGAGAAGTCCAGGTTTATATAAACACGACTTACGCCCATCGTGAACCATTTAGAAAGTTCTTCATGTGATTCAGTTTAAGTAAAGCCATATTTAAGGATTCACATCACTCTATCTGATATATGCACATCAGAAAAAAACATGCATAATTAGGTATAATACGCCATAGTCAGTTCCATGTATGTTCAAAAATGAAGGAACACATTTAACTTCTGTCAATTTGCTTCCGTTTACAAGAACAATTCTGTGTTTTAAAAAAGTGCATTTCATCACATATAGCCTTCTGTATTTTCACACAATGCCATGCACCCACAATTCGTAATAAATCCACAGTAACTCAGATCACATTATAGCTTCCTAATATGTTCAGTCTCTCCAATACATCTCCTCCTCCTTCCTCAAACCTCTGAATACCCCCCATACCGCCTGCCTCCCTCAAAATCCCACCCACAGGCACACCCAGTCAACGACTTTGCCTCAAGACCTGGGTGCCCCCCAACCCTGTCTGCATTCCCATCTATTCTGGCCATATCGCGTCCCATTCCCCCGCTTCAGGGCCGAGACCCTCCATTTTCCCAGCTTCTCAGGGACTTCTCTTCAGCAAATGGCCTCCTCCCTCCTGCTCCTGAGTTTCTCCCTTGCTGGTGGATCATTTCCAGGACCATGCTGTTTCATGTATCGCCACAGGAAACAAAAGCCAACAAAAAAACCTCACCAGGTCCCCGTACCTTATCATGCTTCCCTGCACAGTAACACTTCTCCCAAAAGCCACCTGTAATTGCAGTTTCAGCTTCTCCTATTCTCTCTTCACCCACTTCAATGAAGCAGCCGCTAACTCCACTGCACAACCACCTCCGGTCAGATGCCCTGAGAATCCCACGGCTCCCCATCCAACCAGCACCCTCCATCTACCTCCCCCTTCCCCACTCTGGCCGCGTGCGGCCAGACACAAAGTGCTGCCTCAGGCGGCTGCGCTTGCTGTTCCTTCCGCCAGGGGCGCTATTTCACCAGACGCCCCTGCCTGGCCCACTGCCTCACTTCCTTCAGGCCTCTACTCCAATCCCTCAGAGCGGCCTTCTAGGACCAGACCATCTAAACAGTCCACTCAACCCCCAACTCCGCTGGATTTCACACCACCATCATCTCCTATTCTCTCCAACTACTTTGTTTTTCTTTATAGGCCTTTTACTGCCTGATATTAAATTACAAATTTATTTTTGTGTTTCCTTGCTAAGGTTTTGTTCTCCACCCACTTCATTTCTCTCACCACCTACACACATGCACACACACACATGCACGCATGAAGGTAAGTCCCATGAGGACAAGGATTATTGTGTCTTATTAACCACTTACTCCTAGTAACTAAAAGAGTGCCTGGAATATAGTAGATGCTCAATAAATATACTTTGATTACATGAATATTCTATGTTAGTAAATATTTCAAATTATGAAGAACGCAAATCTCTGGGATTTGAAAGTATATCTTTCTACTCCTTTAGATATTCTAGTAGAATCACGTTTTGGTAGTGGTTTCAGAATGGAAAAGATTTATATATTTTACCTTTCCGATGTCACTCGGATTCGTTCCTCACAACTACAGTTCACAACTTCCATCTTCTCATGGAAGTATTTTTCCACACACTGCTCCTCAAAATCATGAAGTTTTTTCAGATCCTCCTTACTCAGGTAGAGTTCTATAGAAATAAGTATGAAACACAGAAAGAATCATTATTCATCTCAGGGCATGAGTGGCTTTTCTTCCACTTGTATTGAAAATGAGAAACAGTAGCCTGTTGTGATAAAAGTTTGTCACCTTGTCAAACTATTTCTAATATTAATGCAGAAACAGCACCAACAAACAACTGGAAGCCGGGCGCAGTGGCTCACACCTGTAATCCCAACACTTTAGGAGGCTGAGGGGGGTGGATCCCTTGAGCTCAGGAATTAGAAACCAGCCTGGACAACATAGGCAGACTCTCTCTCTACAAAATAATTTAAAAATTAGCTAGGCGCCTGTGGTCCCAGCTATGCAGGAAGTTGAGGAAGGAGGATGGCTTGAGCCTGGGAGGTCAAGGCTGCAGGAGCCGTGATCACGCCACTACACTCCAGCATGGGCTACAAAGCGAGACTCTGTCTCAAAAAAGGAAAAGAAAAGAAAGAACTGGAAACACCAGCCTGGGTCTCTCCTATTCATTCTTTGAAAATGACTCATATGTAGAATTCTTTCTCTTCAATATTTTCACAGGTAGGAATGTTTTCACATTTAACAAAAATTCACTGCATTTCTATGAAAATGGGGAATCTGATTGTCTTCTTTTCTCTCTGCCAACGCTTTCTAAAATTAATTAAATTTTAATTGATTCATATTAGATGTACATATTTTCGAGATACATGTGATAATTTGATACATTCATATAATCAAATCAGGGCAATTGGTGGCATAAGCCTGTAGTCACAGCTACTCAGGAGGCTGAAGTAGATCACCTTAAATATTTACCTGTCCTTTAAGATAGAAACATTTGAATTATTCTCTTCTAGCTATTTTGAAATGTATAATCAATTAATTTTAACTGTAGTCAAACTACTGATGGCAGGGCATGGTAGCTCATGCCTGTAATCCCAGCACTTTGGGAGGCTGAAGCAGGTTGGATCACTTGAGACCAGGAGTTCAAGACCAGTCTGGCCAACATGGTGAAACCCCACCTCTATCAAAAATACAAAAATTGGGGGTTTCCTTTCTCGGCTTTGGAGCCCCCCTCCCTCTGTCTCTGTATGGGGGAGCTTCCTCCTTATTTGCCTATTAAACTCTCCACTCCTTAAAACAAACAAACAAACAAAAATTAGCTAGGTGTGGTGGTCCATGCCTATAATCCCAGCTATTCAGGAGGCTGAGGTGGGAGAAACATTTGAACCCAGGAGGCAGAGGTTACAGTGAGCCGAGATCGCTCCACTGCACTCCAGCCTGGGCAACAGAGCAAGACCCCATCTCTAAAAACAACAACAAGAACAACAAAAACCCTACCGAACTATTGAACACTAGGTCTTATTTCTTCTATCAAAGTGCATATTTGTACTCACTAATCAGCCTCTCTTCCAACTCTTTTAGCTATTACAATGACAGTAAATAACCAATAGGTTAAATGCAAGATTAGAAGAAGGCAGTCTGTTGAAATTAATCCAGTAAGTATAAGAAAGTTTTACCTTGTTACACAGAGTTTGTGCATACTAAGTCCTTCTACTGAAGAATGAGATGTTATTATTACCACTCAATGGCCAATCACGGCTGTATACCTTCTCTGACACAATTATAAATAACTCATTAAAAAGACACATTACTAAGTGACATTATAAGGCTAACGCAATTCTTCATCAAACTCCAGCATTCACATTTGGTCTATTACTTTGGCTTTCACTCCTGCCTAATAGAATAATATACCATCTTTTAAGCAAGTTTATAATACTTAGAAAATATATAAATGAAATGATGCTGCTAAAAGGATTAAATTGGAAAGTTCTCTTTCTTGAATGGTTTTGCTTACATTAGGACAAAAAGAACTAACATGGTTCTCCAGAATTTATTTAAAATGCAATTGTTACATTATTTTCTGAAAAAAAGACAAAAAAAACTTAATTTTAAATTGAAAACATGGCTAAAAGTATTATTCAGCTGTAAAATGTATTCACAACTCAGGTATACAGTGCTTTCTGATTTAAAAGGCAGAAAAAATTTTTTCAGACACTGAAAAGATTCGGTATCTTCCATCCCCTACCCAACTCTAAAGTCTTCTTTCATTGAAGAATCTCCTATGAGCAAGAAACTTCACAGGTGTCATGATATGAACCTTATGTGGGTCCCTGAGAGCAAACAATCCAGAGTAATTCCAATGACAGGTGCAGCTTGCAGTATGTGGTGCTTTCCTGTAATTGTCCGCAAGGTGGCACTGCCGCCCCTTGTGTAAATGTCTTTATCCTCAATATAAAGGATCAGAAGCAATGTTACGAAAATTCAAGAATGTTCCAGAAAGCTCAGGGTGAATTCATTGTAAACTTTACTCGAGTTTTTATGAAATCATCCTATAAGCACAGACCAAGGTAAACCCAGGAAACGTTCTTTCATGTGGTACTAGGAAGTCTGGGCAAATCCTACTCAATTCCAGGATTTATCAAGCAATTCACACTCTGCTATTAGGTTGCAATGGTTCTGCAGCCAAAGCGTGGGACGTCTCTCTACTAGCAGCCTGAAATTTACAGTATAATTATAAGCCTTCAAGTTAACTTCAGTTATGCTTTGGCTTTCGCACAAAGGCTGAATCTCTTGGTCAGGGAGTGGGGTATGAAACAGAAAAGAAAAAATCTTCAAAGTGACTTAGGAGGAGAAAAAATACGTCACAGAGTCACCTACCACCAGCAAAAGCATATCACTCTGTCAACCCCATAATATACTGCAGGGGATGACCTGTCCCCCTAAGGACCCACCTAAACACATAAACAGCCCACTGTCCCTTAGCTGAAACTCCTGTAATCCAGAGTATTTTAGAATTCAGAACTGTTCTTTTCTAGTTTCAGAAAGTTAATATAGTGAATATATCATAAATGAAGTGAAATCCCTAGTTAAGGTTAAAGCAATCCCTAAAATCAAACATATTACTATTTTCTTCAGCAACATCAATGAATGTTCATACTCCAAGAAATAAAGAAAATAAATGGCTTCACATCAATTCTTATCAGCCATTTTTTGCCAAATAAGTCTTTCCTCAATTTATGAAGAAAAAAGCCTTTCAGTTTTCAGAGGTATTTTAGATTTAGGAATTGGGAAAAGGATTGTGTATTTATGCCACCTGCTTCCTGTATTTCTGGGAACTATCTAGAAATGGGCCTGGTACCAACTGTGGAATTGCTTGATAGGAACTACAGAAGATTTGTAAAACCACCAAACGCAATGTTCTCTGACAACAATTAGTATGATAGTCATATCATGCAGTGAAGATCTGGCTAAACAAGATGAATTAGGAAAACCTCAAAATACATAGGCTTATGCTTTGAAAAAACAGAAGTCAGAATCCCTATTTCCACATCCTGACTCACAGTGTTGCCCAGGCTGAAGTGCAGTGGCTATTCACAGGCACGATCATGGCGCACCCCAGCTTTAAACTTCTGAGCTCAAGCAATTCTTGTGCCTCAGCCTCCTGAGTAGCTAGGACTACAGGCATGCACTACTGCAACCAGTCTTTGAGTTGAGGTTCTTGAAAATAAGAAACATCCATTTCAGAATCACCTCCATGCTCAGTAGATTAGAGAATCAGAGGACCATGACTCTGGTTAATAAGTTAAGCCCAGCTTTACTTATCTTTTCTCTCAGACCCCAAGGCCTTCTGTAACTCCATTCTGTCTGAATTCCATCTTCCACAACAAGGAGAACAGTACAGGTCACATGACTACTCTCTAGGAGTTATTCTGATGAGTTCTCTGGTCAGCAGAGAAAACACAGGTTTTCCATGTAACCTAAAGCCTTTACACAATCAAGCAGAGATTCTCTTCCTACCTATTCCTTTCTAAGTATCCGTTCATCTTGGCAAAAGGCACTGCGACCTCATAATGAGGTCAGTATATTTACTTAGACCCAGGGCATCAGCTGATATTCTATTGTCAGGGAACTCCCAGAGCCCCCCAGTGCCCTGAACTTAACTTATAATACTCCGGTGCATCTTTGCCTTGAATCTGTACTTTTTGCTCTCTTCCTCCTGCCTCACACAGAACAACTTACTTAATCCAACGTCACCTTCTTCTTGGTCGTGAGGAGCTCGATGACAGCACAGGCGGCGGAGGAGAAGGCCCACGTGGCTCAGCAGGATGAGAGGTGGGGGCAGCCAGGGCTTCTCGAGGTAGGTCATGATATAGCGATAGCGGTTGTATTTCCACAGGTTATTTGAAATGGATTCCATATCTAAGTAAACGTTGCTGTAAGATGAAGTAAGGGAGGGACAATGTTTTAATATGAAGTCTTGAAAGGTAACAGACTCTATATTTTCCAACATTTATGATTGGTTCACCTGATATTGCCAGCAGTTACCCAACACAAATACTATCCACTGTGTTTACGATTCTTCTTCCACCAAACAAAATATATTAGCTACCTTCTACAATCAAACATGCTAATCAGAATAACAAGCAAAAGGCAGACATTACAATCAGAGAAAAGAAAATGTCAACGTTTTCAGTGTAATGAACAGAAAATCCGTTCTGGAACTCAACACTATTCTCAAGTCACCATCTCTTCTCACATAAAAGCTCTTTTTCAGTCCATAATTCATCGTTTATGGGAAACAGATTTAATGTTCCTCTGTATCATCTATCTAATGTCAAATGTGAGAACTGCTAGAAAAATCCCAGTTAAAACATGCAAACAGAATGGTGTAAATGAAGAAATGGAAGAAGAATCAATTCATCTAAAATCAAAAAGCAGAGCTTCTAGGAAAATCCAGACAAATTATTTAGATTAACTTTACAATAAAAGTAACTCCTTATTGGTAGGTCACTTTGTAGCTGTAACATGGAGATAGAATGGTGAATATTGATATTATAGAACTTGCCATGGGGGTAATGATTGGGGCTACAGTTATACTGAAACAATAGATCATCCTTAACTACTTAACTTTAAGTATATAATATGATATAAGAGGAACACAGTAAAATGTCCATCTTAATATTGTGCATAAACTAACAAAATTTAGTTTCTTTTTTAAGAAAAAGAGTAGAACTTGAGGAAGGTAGCCAAATTTAGCAAATAAAAACACAGATAACCCTAAACTTGAACAGTGATAAAGGAAAGGAACCAGGATTATCCCGGAGAACGCCATCTTTGGGTAAGAATAGAAGTTTCTCAGAATCCATACAGAAGGTGATTGAAACATAGATGACTGGGTTATCTCAGTAGTTCTCAAGCATGTTCTCTGAACCAGCAGCGTCAGCATCACCTGAGAACATGTCAGAAATGCACATTTTGGGGTCCTGGTCAATGAGTGAGAAACTCTAGGGTTGCACATGCTATTAATAGTTGTTTCACTCCAACATGACAACAGCCTTCCACCAGCAGGTGGCGACCTTCACAGTGTATTTAATTTTGTTTGTTTGTTTATTTTTGCTTTTTTCAATTATTTTATAAAGAATTGTCTATAACCGGCTCCTGGACAAGTAGTCAGATCTGGGGTTGGTCAGTTTGTGTGGTCTTCAGTGTGTTCATCTCTAACATGAGAAATTTGTCCTATGCGAGGATTTCTTAACTTCTTTTTTGACACTGGACGTTTGTTTCTGTCATTGTCGTTGGCCAGGAGGCTCAAAAAGAGGCCTTTATTTATCTAGCTCAAAGTATACACTATCAGAGTCTTGTTTGGTACTCCTTCTACTAAAATAGTTCAAATCAATGTTTCTACCACTGTATCAAAAAGTTCTATTATTTTTTGTCTCCCCACATCAGAGTGGTTGAATAGAAGGTAGAAACAGGCCGAGAGTCCATAGGCTCCCAGCTCTAAACAGTGCCAAGGCAGGAAGGGGTGGCTCCGGGTCTCACTGTGGCACCTTCTACAGAAAATAGACATAGCTGCCGGGCCCGGGGACAGAAACCAGACATTCCAGTCCATCTCCAAAAAGCAGCACAAATACTTTCCCCGCACTGTATGAAAAATACACACCTCTAGCACTCTGCAGTTACGAATTTAGTTTTCTTTAAGAAAAAATCAAATCAGTAGTATGTATCCTGTTTCCTCAAGTTTCAAGAAAAAGAAATGAAAGGTCACGTTTTTCTCTTTAAACACTGATGTGTAGCTAGTAACTTGGATAAAAAGGTGCCACCCTACAAAATGTGCTCAGCATGTTCTGACGCCAGGATGGGCTTGGCCGCCTGGGCTGGGGCTAGAAAGGAGACCTCCATCCGTCCCAGTGGAAACGGAAGTCGAGTGTCCGTGCTGCATTTGGCTTCAAGATCGAGAATCAGAGCCTTTGAAATGGAGAGGGGGCATCTGAAAGGGCACCCCCACTGGGGGCTTTCAGAGCTAAGGCTCCAGAATGAAGGGGTCGCCCTGCCAGTGACAGAGCTAGGAGTCACTCTGAGCTGCAGCGCCCCCAGGATCCCCCTGTGGGAGGCCCCATCTGACCCTCTCCAGCCCATGGCTCTCTGCAACTGCCACCTGTACTCAGGTATATGGCTTCGTTGCTGCTGGCTTTTAAAATCAGCTATTATATTTGAGATGTGACTGTCACCAACAGAGTTCTCTCCTAAAAAGCCATCCCAGTGCTGTGTTGGCTCAGGGGGCACCGGCTTTGTGCTGCCTCTGTAACAGGCAGGAGAGTTCTCAAAGCAATGTTCCCTTGATCCCTGGACGCCACTGCAGCATTAGGGACAGGATCAGTCCCCTGGAGGGGAAAGGTGGCTTCAAGGTTGTTCTCTGGGCCATTTGCAGGAGATCTGCAGGTACCAGGAGCCTGTACTTATTGCTTCTTTCAGTGGTGGCCAAGCCAACCAGACCCAAACATGAGGCACACGGGCTCCCTGACTTGGCTGCCACTCAAAATTGACCCACACCCCTTGGGCTGCTCTGCAGTTCTTTGGACTCCAAGACCCAGAAGGGCCTCTGCTCAGCTGCCCACTTGGGCAAGACTCACTGGGTACCATGACCAGCAGGTGTTCACCCAACCTCGAGTGTACACCCCTAGTGACTGGGAGCACACCACCTGACCGGGTGACACTCCTTCCCAAAGGACCTTCCCAACAACAGAGGTCCAAAGAGCCTCCTGGTGACACCCACAGCAGGAGCGTCACGCCATCCCATCACCAGCACCCACTTACCTGCCTGGGGCTAAGATGGGGGGTGTGAGCCTTTCCCCTGAGAACAAACGGGCAATGAGACACTGGACATTTTTAATAAATAAAAATCTCCGACTACCAGCCTGGGCAACATGGCAAAACCCCGTCTCTACCAAAAATACAAAATTCAGCTGGGCATGATGGCACACACCTGCGGCCCCAGCTACTCTGGAGGTTGAGGTGGGAGGATCGCTTGAACCAGGGAGGCGGAGGTTACAGTGAACTGAGATCACACCATTGCACCACTCCAGCCTGAGTGACAGAGTGAGACCCTGTCTCCCCTCATGCCCCCCCAAAAAAACTCAGACCCTTTTATTATTTGATATATAAAAATAGCTATTATAACTAAACACCAGCAAATATTCTAAGTTCCTAAAATGGTTGGGCTAAGAGAACTGATGCCTATCATATAACAAGCAGGAAGGTATGTCTTCCCGATGTATAGGTAACAACACAGCAGTCACTTTTTTTTTTTTTTAAGAATTCTGATTTACTTTGCCTAACTCTCAACCTGTGTCTTCCCTACTTTCGTTACTTATACTGCATAAATTGATTTTCTCTTTTCTTATCTTTTTCTCTTCGGTAAGGTAAACAAGGAATCAAATACCTAGCACAATGTCTGACATTTAAGAGGCATCTAGAAAATATGAGTTTCTTCCCATTGCTTCACTTGGTTTCTTTTGTCTACAAAACAAATACGTGTCAGGCACTCTTTTCAGTGTTTGAGATAAATTGATTGCTTCTGAGCAAGAGGAGAAGAGGTGAGGAAGTGGGCCATACCGGTAGCTGCAGGAAGAGCATTCTAGGCAGAGGGAATAGCAAGCACAAAGGCACCTGTGTGGTCTGAAAAACTGAGGGGCCAGTGTGGTTGGAGATGAATGGGTCAGGGGAAGAGTAGTGTGATGCATGATCTAGGAAGTGACAGCTGGGCGCGGTGGCTTATGCCTGTAAGCCCAACACTTTGGGAGGCCAAGGCAGGTGGATCACGAGGTCAGGAGTTTGAGACCAGCCTGGCCAACATGGTGAAACCCTGTCTCTGCTAAAAATACAAAAATTAGCC